TAAACTAATTATGAATAATATAAACTAATAGCACCAGCTTTTCTTTAAATCAGATTATAATATAAAAATATTAGTAGACTAGTTTAATCTATATCCGATCCAGCTATTATTAGTATATAAATTATTTTTATACTATAAATTTTATTTATATTTATTTAATTAATTATTATTATCTGTTTACCGATTACTATATTTATATATTTTATAAAAAGTTCTATTCTACTGTCTACTATATAAAATTATTATATAATTATTATTATAAAATCTTAAATATCTATTAAAATAATAGTTTATTATATAAAATTTATTATACTATTCCGGCCAATTTATAGATAAATTCTCGGAATTATTTTATACTAAAATTAATATACTAATACAGCAGCTGATTTTTATCTATTTATATTATATATTTAGAAATAATAATATTATAATAAATTTTTAGTTTATATATCTACTAATCTTATAATATTTCTATTAATATATAGTATCTGTATACTATTAGTTGTTAGACTATCTATTTTATCTATTTTTAGAATAATTTTTATATTTTCTAAATCTATTAAATATTTATCTAAGACTGTCTATTCCTACTCTATATAAATAAAATTAAAAAAAGTAACTAAAACTTTAATTTAACTAAAATATAGTTTTTTATATTAATCTTTTTATTAAAATTATTTATTATAATAATATTATTTAATAGCTAGTTAATACAGCTGCCCGTCTGCTTTTATATTTAAATAATCTAATTTATATAAAAATCCAGCTATAAAATCTTCTAAATAATTATAAAGCAGATAATTTTAATTATTTATAATAAAATAAAAAAATAGTTTTTAAAATTATATTATTTATATTTTAATTAGTTTAATACTATTATAATATATACCAGTCTGTTTTTATATTTTTATTTCTAATACTTCTAGTTTAGCAGCTTAATATAAAATTCTAAATATATTTATTTAAATATATTTATTATTTAATTAGTTATTCTATTATCTATTTTTATAAAATTAGAGCTGCTGGTCCGGCTAATTATTAGCTGTTATACTATCTGCTATTTTTTTTATTACTAGAATATAAATCTATATTATAAGCTTTACTATTTATATAATATTTGAATTTATATAATAAATCTTAAAATCTTTTATTATAATTATATATATTTAGTAATATTAATAATATTTATATATAACTATAGCAGTTAGTATAATATCTATCTAATTTCTAACTGTATAGTTTTAATATAAATAGCTTATTTATAATACTAGACTATATACTAGCTTTTTTAGATTATTTATTTTATAATATTTTAAATCTGTACTATATTCTATTTTATAGAATTACGAGATTTTTTTTTAAATATAACTATATATATTGATAACTAGTTAGATAATATATTTTATAAATATACTATTTATCCGGTTATCTGCAACTATAAGTTAGTATTATATATCATTAGTCTAAATAATCTACTATCTTTATACCGTCTGTATATATTTTTATATTTAAATTATAATATTTACTGCTTAGTTAGTTTATTTTATATAAAATAGCTGTAATTTAGGATTTTTATAAATATAAATATAATATGATTTAAATCAGCTGGAAAATAAATACTAATAATCTACTATTTTATATAACTACTGAAATTTAATCTTATAAATTATTTACTTTTATAAAATTAACCGACCTTGGTATAGATTTTATAACTATTTATAAAATTTTTTTTAATAGATTTAAATACTATTTACTATTTATATAATATAATTATATTTATATTCTCGATAATACAGTATACTATTATTAAAAATAAGAATTCCAGGAATTAGTAATTAAAACTAGATAGAAAATAATACTATATTAAAATTTAATATAATATTATTCTACTATATAATTAGAGTGGATTTTGGTTAAAAAACAGGTTAAAAACTGAGCTTCTAAAACTTGTATTTGGCCTTAAAGAAAATAAGATTTAAATGTTTTCTTTCTGAAATTGAATATATATATTATATTGGTTTATATATTACAAATATATTACACTCTAATACAACTAGCCTGTATTTAATACATAACTAATCATTTTTAGTATGATTTTATATGGTAATTTTTAACTGCTAAGTAATTTATTGTAATATAAGTATATTATATAATAAATATGATTTAATTATAAATATTAGAATTAGATTACAGTTTTTGCTTAAAACATTAAGATAAAGAATTTATATATCTTATAAAATACTTTAACCGTTGACTGTATTTTTTAACCGTTACCATTAACCTGACCTGGCCGTTAGCCACTCTATATATAATATTATTCTGGATTACTATAGTCTACTTATAAAAAATACTATAAATAAATTACTTTAAATAATAAATAATTTTTTTAGATCAAACCCTATATTAATATTATTTATAAATTACTACTGGCAGTATATTAAGCTAAATAAAATATAAATTTTTTATTATACTATTTAAATAAGCAGAAGCTGAGTTTTTAATATAATAAAAAATAATTAAAATATTCTAGCTTTAAAATAATTTATATATAATAATATTATTTTTAATAATCCCGTAATAATTTTATTAGAATAATTAGACTATTATAAAATAACAATAACTGCAGTTAGTAAATATTTCTATCTAAAAACTATAAATTTTTAATCTATTATAATTTAAATAGTTTACTATATATTATACTGTTATTTAAAAAATAAGTAAATAAGTAATATTTTTATAATTAAATATAATTTTAAATAATTTAGCTAATTACTTCTTCTTCTAATCTATTATATTATATTAATCTAATAAATTATATCGGGAGATATATCAGCCAATCAGAATGCTTACCGGGCCCCACCCTAGGTCTGATAAAGGTCCATCAGACCAACCCTTGTGGATTAGAAAAAAAAATAATAATGAATATTTTAATAATCTATTACATATTTAATTATAAATGTTTTAAATACTTATAATTCTATATATATATAGTCTAGAGTAAAGATTCTGTAGGTTTTTTTTTCTTTTTTTTCTAAGAATAGAATTCTTGTCTGGTTGATTTATCTTCTTTTCGTAGCCTCACAGTTGATGCCCCTCGGAATTTGAGGTCCCGGTTGATGTGCTCCAAAATGCAGGAGCCCAGAAGATTGGTGGTGCATTCCAGGTAACGAAGATGCAAATTGCTCTTATCAACATTTCGACCTAGATTTTGAGGGTCATTTTTGCCATCGAAGCTCGCAATCCCATCTAGAACGGCAGTAATAGAAAACCTGATAAACAGGTCGTAGATGAAGATGTCGGTATACGACTTATCGGGATTGGGGCCGCCTGCGGGATCTGCCGGCGCCCGATCAACGTACACCTGGAGTCGATCGGCACTGAGATGCTGCTGGAACATCCGACGGGCCATGTTCTGTAGTCGGTGGGCATAGTCGACGTAGTGGAGCGCCTTCAGGCCTTTGGGCGCTCCAACGACCTCGGCGAAAGTTTGCTCCACATAGTCTGACATGAGGACTGCAACAGCTGCTTCCGGGGTGTATCTTTCACTAGAGATGCTTGCCGGATCTTAGATGACCAATAATAAGTGGCAAGGAAGGGCACCGTTAACTCTTTTGTGTTCCTTCATTCATCACCATTCTTTGATGTCTCATCGGGGATCCCCCCTAGTCACACCCATGACTATGGAGAAGTTCGATAGATTGTTGCATCCGGTTAATGGAAGAATATAACCTTTCTGCATCACTGCGAGCTTTGATCGGCCGCCAGAACGGGAGTCTCTGATCAGGCGACGTGTGCTCATGTGGTGTGTAATTTACGTAATTAGTGTTTTGCCGCGCTACGCAGTGCACAGAATGCTGCACTCTGAGCCATAAAGCCGGTCCAACACAGATCCAGAGAGTATACAGCAAGAAAGTAGCCATGCCAAGTATGTCCCTCTTTTGTATGTCCCCGAGGTCGAGTATCGTAGTGGTCGATCGTGGCAGAGGGTCATTCTGCGGGATTGGAGACATTTGCTGGATCTTCGTGGTGATCTTCTCCCTGAAGGCAGGCGGTAATTGTACCCGCAGATTGGTGATTTCTTCATCAATCTACTCCCTTCCAACTGTCAGTCATGGCCATCACGCTCGGACGCAAGAAAGGTTTGGTCTACCATCAGCACACTCGGTGCAATAACCAAGTTTGTCTTAGAGTCACACGCGCAAGGCGCCCAGTGCTTTCCCATAGTGCATTAAATACTACGAGGGGGTTCTCGCCGGGAGAAGAACGGGTAGAGGGAAACTAGAGCGCTGGCAGCCGAGTCCAGCACCTGAGTGTGGCCCAACCTGCGGGGAAAATTGTGCAGAAATGTACCTTAGAAGGAAATGTCAGCGGAATTTTTCTTTCACCTTGCGGCAAGCATGGCAGGCTTCACTGGAGGGGACGCCGGGCATGTTGCGGAGTTGTGACGGGTGGGTGGTCACAATGTGCGAGTGTGATACGCCGCGGGCGGTGGAACTTGGAGTCACACCGCCTTGGCCATTCGCCGTGGCCATTCGCCAATTAAGCCGGAGGTCACTTCCCTCTTCCGAGACCGGCGGGCAATCAAGCAAACTTGGGAATCGGAACCGTCACTGCACTAAGCCAGTTTAGAGCATAAAGTACGAGGCGGAAGGGCAGATCGATCTTATCAACTCAAGGCGGTAATCCAGTACAAATTGATAAGTTGATTCCACAGGGGAATACTCTGCTGACGCTGCTATCTCTAGCCAAAAAAAGTCTGCAAGTTCTCTTCCAGCATCACCTCGGTCCAACCCACCAGACGGCGTGTCGTATCGGCAGCGCCGACCCGGTGATCGGCCCGCCGCCATACCCGCTCCACCAGCCGAGTGGCATATCCCACGGAATCCAGGCCCACATAGCGATGCAGGCTGCGAATTCTCTCACGCACCACCGTTCGCCAATAGTGGATGGTCATACTGCTATGACAGATCGACATAATGCTCGCATAGGAACCGCAACTGAGGGGGAAGGGTGTGAGGGGACTGGGTGACGCCACACAATTCTGCAGGGCGCTTCCAGCAATAATCCAGGGAAGTAATTGGATCGCCTTGGTGCCCGTACTTTCTCCTAGCGATAGCAGTAAGGTCAGGATCTCAATGGCAAGGGAAACGAGGAGGTGGCTGGAGTGTGACAATCCCGGGTCCGCTGCAGTTTGGCAAGCGGGAGGACCGAGTAAACCAGGGAACAATCGATACAGCTCCAGCAGAATGGTCAGCCGGTACACTTGGCTCATGGTGTGTAGATGAACAGGCGGAGTATGATCATCCGCCGTCTCCAGGATGCATTGCAGAGGGGGCGGCGAGTATGACCGCACCAGGAGTTCAATCGCCCTGGCCTTTTCGAGAAGAGGGGCATAAGAATCGCCATTGGAAGCGTGGGCGCTCGATATACCCCAAAGGCGGTCAAAGTGACGAAGCTGTCTTGATAAAGCACCTACTTTAGCCATGTAGATAAACAATACCGTGCAGACACCCGTTAATGGGTTCGGAACGCAGGCACCAAGACTGGTCGTGTTGCCACAGACATCGAACAGGTAATCTACAGACTCGACGTCCTGGTCCACATGGAACGAGGCAAGTGACTCCCAGAAAGCCATTACCCCTACCAGAAAGCTACAATGCGGATCGCAGAGGGCGGGGCCATTCCATTGTCTGAACAACGCTCGGGCGCCTTGCAGATGGACAAGGTCTAGGGAAGACACATCGTGCCATGTCTGCGCCAGGTTAGCGAAGGCGTCACTGCGGGACCGCCGGGGTAGCAAGTCTTACGGAGGTCATCCCAAGCATGATTGCCGTAAGCAGGAGGGCGGTCGTGCTGGAGCTGGGTGGTGCCACTGCCTTCTCGGCATGAATGACCTGGGTGATATTCGATCCCAGTTCGGATAGAGCCTGTGCACGATGCCGGAGCGATCTCGTCTGACCTCTCTCCTTTTGGTGCAAATGCGCAGCAGACATACCAAGCACACAGTGCAACAGCGCTGGATGGGTGGGCATAAGCTCCTGGACCAGCGATCGGAAGGGGTTCTGGCGCGAGTCAAAGGCGGACAGGATGCCACAAACCCGCGAGAAGTAATACCTCAACAGTCTGTCTGTCAACGGCTCCAGATAGCCATGTAGCACCGGAGACAAGGGAGGTGATGTGGTCCATCGCCCTTCGCATGGTAGGTACGACTCAGTAATCGAACTATGAGTTGGATCGTCCGAGTCGGTGATGTCGACGGCGGAGCTGCCACTTTGAGTAGCGGTATAGCCATCAGCCCTGCCGGCGATGGCAGCCTCCAGCTTACCGGCCTCTTGAATGAACCAGTCTGCATGGGATTTGCTGGAGGTGTGGTCCTGGTCTTTCTCGCCCGGCAGCCAGCGCTCATATTTGTCGGACCATTTTACATTCCTTGTATACCCTGGACAACTTAGCCCTCGCTTCTCGCAGCGAGAACAAGATGGGAGTTTCTCGTCGCACTTCAGACGCTGCGATGGCCGGTCAATTCGGGCACTCCAGAAGTCATTGGGCCCACTCACTCGTTGTTTGCAGGTGCGACAGCCAGCTTTTGTCCGCCGATGGAGTTAGCATGGGCTCCCTTTCGCGTATCCACTGGAGCAGTTGGAACCCTACCGCGTGATTTGACCCTTTTCCGGGGATTGGAGGTCTTATAAACGGGCATATTTTCGCTTGGGGTGGCACGGCTGCAGTGGACCGAATGGGAGCAACTTGGGGGGAGGGAGGGGAGGATAAGCTTTATAATCCTTTTGCCTGTAGTTTAGTTAACTTGAGTGTGTCGACGTAATTGTGGTGGGGCGGAAATGCTCCGCCTTTCCCCACTTCCTTATCTTATCGGTAGGTCAACTGACCCTCAGCTGTACAGTACATAGTACTCCGTAGTCTACTGTCAGCTGTACTGCACTGTAAGCACTGTAAGAAGGCTATGCACAAGATTTTCTGTCTTGACGTTGACTCCCTCCTAAAGCTAACCAGGCTAACTACAGTTTCATCAAAGGTGACTTATCTTCGACTGCACAACCCGCGTGGCATCCGTCTCGGCCAACACCGTCGCATGAGATCCGAACCGCATCTGCACCAATTTCGCCGGCTTTGGATCCCAGCAGAAGAATCGCCCCGTGGACCGCATCTGCTCCAGATCTACCACCACCACGGATTCGACCGGCATGACTTTCTCGCTCCAAAACAGAAGATACAACTTCTCTCCCAACTTCAGCATCTTGCACGGCTCGGTATCTGCCAGCCCTTTCTCCGTTCCGGTCAGGCAATGCCACGTGAATGTGCCTTGGTTCAAGTACACATGCTCGTACGCGTCCCGCGGGGTATAGCGGTAGAGGATGTGCTTTCCAATCAGATCTTCCGTGAGCTCAAAAGGGCGAGCGCCGTCCATCCCGTCAAGAGCGGCATCGGAGAACTTCGTGTATGTCCTTTTGGTCCCATTCACAATGTGAAAGCCGGAGAGTGCAACGATGGCTTGACCAGTGGTCTGATTCAGCACCAGAGTGACTTGTTCCTCACAGTCTGCTTTGTAAAGGTCGACGAAGAATGTATTGGGTCGGACTTCGAAGGCTTGGTACTCGGCGTGCCCCCGCTGGTTGGTGGACAGGACCTCCCACTCCAGGGTGTGATCGTTGAGGAAGCGGTGCGCGACACGTGGGGCTTTGGGAAAAACCAGAGTGAGCGTTTGCCCGGTTAGTCTTTCACACGCACTCATCAGATGCTCGTCGTAGCCGACAGCGAGAGCCTCGAGGTTGGGCCATTCGGAGACAGGGATATGGCCGGGGGTTTCAGTGGCGGCGGGCATGATGCGAACTAGATAGGTAGGTGGTGAACTTTCAATTCAAGCAAGCCATATCAAGTGGGTTTTGTTTGTGAGTGGACAGAGCGAGATTGATCGAGTATGAAGGCCGGTTTTATAGACCTTGGTCTCTGTGGGCCAGGGGAGAGCAATTACTTACCTAATACTCTTGGAGCCCGGGGTCGTACTTCATGCCTAAATATAGCTTAGCGTAGACCCACCTGAATTGCTTCCACCTGCCGGCGCTCGTTAGAACGAATGTGGTGTATCTCGGTTGAAAAGCCAACCTAGTGTCCGTCCACCTTGCACACGGATTGTGGCATGATGTCAAGTCGCAGGGGCTCTCTTATGGTTGGGAGACACTCCTGAAAATCGCACCCGAGGATGCCAACATTGATCTCGAGAAATTTCCTCATACTATAATCCGAGTTTCAGATGAAGTCGACGTCGCATATCCCACAAGTTGTAAAGAGCAAGATCGACTTGGTGAATGCCCACAAGAAACATAGGGGTAACTGACATCCGTATACGCGAGTAAGGTATGTGCGACAAGAGGAGAATACTCGGGCAAATCAAGGCCAATTGTGCATAAATCCCACGTGCAATTCCAGGCACCCCCTACACGTTGAATGAAGCATGGGTGCCAGCGTATTCCACTCTGTGTGGCGGGTCGATGATTGGTGTATATCTATTGTCCCTCGATATGATGCATACCCCGAAAGTCAAATGTTGATGAGATCTTGGAACGTATGGATAGAGTCCTATAAAGTGGTCGGCATTCGCGCCGCCGGACCTATCCCTGAACCCTGATCGAAAGTCTCCTCCAATGCGACAGGTGGGACGGATCGAATGTCCGCGCTCGTATGCATATCGGCTGGAACCACCGCGCTATCGCGCGAAGTGGTATTGACATTGATGATGCTAGCTGGGCCCAGATTACACGAACGATACCACCCAAGCTGCTCTTGGTATTTCACATACCCGCCTCCTTTGAGCTATCCTTCAAGCTGGAGCCGTGGTACTGGGATCAAAAGGGCTTCGATCGAGTACCTGTCCGATTATCAGGATATCTAAAGGGAAGCTATTGGGTGCTTGGGACAGAATGAGCAAGAATAGCCCCCCTGGCAGCGCATATGATGAGAAGAATGTATGGAAAGCGATAGCCCGGGATTCCCGTCAGCAGCGAAGGGAGGCAGGAAAGGGATTCAGGCGACTCCATATTCAAGAAGCAGTACGCACTGTAATTGCCAGTCATATAGGTAACCAGAGCCAGCTCCTGTCCTGAAGTCTTTGCCCGGCCGTCTTCAACAGTTGAACAGGATCTGTTGGATGCATCGGCTTTTGCCGCTGGATTAAGCGCCGGAGTGGCAAGCACCTCCCGGCCCTGATCGACACCTGCTGATTTGGCTGCACATCAGGCCCCAGGCGCTTATCGTTGACCTATAATTAGCAGTTCTTTCCCAAGCTTACTTAGTGCTCACTTTCTTTTGCTTGCGTGATGTCGCGAGCCTTCGACCGTCGGAGTTTAATCTAATATCCTTGGCAGCAATTATTGGCCATCGCCCTTGTAAGTAGATTCCATTGAACCACACATACGCCATGTAGCGCTCATGAAAACTGCCTCTGGCGCTTACTGATGCAAAGAGTTCATGTAAGGACTACTACTACCTATGATGCAGCTATTGATAGAACTCCAGAAGGCAGCGCCTGTCGTTGAAGTGAGTAGGCAATTTAGCTATAATAGGCGCCATGGCCACCCGACCTCGTCTTCTTGCCAGGTGGGATCTGAACTTCGTACTCTTTTGTCGCTCCACCACCCTCTTTCAAATCATGTCCCTCGCAGATCTCCAACCCAACAGGCTGTACATTCTCCTTTTCATCAGACATCATCCCCCCATTCCGAATGACTTTCACTGGGGACTTTATTTCCATCGGGACAGCCGCAGGGGCGGCACGAAGTATCATATCAAGCAACAAGGAAGTGGCTGGATTTCCGCCCACGGACCTACTTCTGGGGTGTTCAAATCTTTTCTTTTGGTGGGACTTTTTGGAATTGCTGATGTGCCCGGTGGTTGGGAGGATGCCCTGGATCAAACCATCCGGACATACGATCATCAGTTGAACCAGCCAGCCACCACCTGCCGTGTCTGGCTTTTCCGGGTGCTGGCTCTTTTGCAGAATGCCCATGTCCTGAAGTGCACGAGCCTTGAGGAATTGGAGGCTGAAGCCAAGAGCTGGGGGAATGCACATGCGAGCGATGCTGCCGACAATCTTCAGCCGAGGCCGTTCGCCAATTCATCCCTGTGCGGACTGTGAGCAACCTCCTCCAGTAAGCCGCATTCTTGACCCTGCACCTAGACCAACGATGTGCTTTAAACTGACGGATATGTGTATCCGACAGCCCCCATTCCACTTGAAAAGCTTGGATAGCTCCCAGCCACAGATATTGTGCGATTTGCAACAGATCCTAGGCGTCGTCGCAAGTTTCGTTTATGCATTATAATGTACCGGGAGGGAGAGTTGATGGCGATATACTTGTCTCTGACCTCTGAGAGATTACATGAGATCTCAATGTATCCATAGAGTATGATGAAGCTAGTCCCCAATCATCGCCCGCCAAGACTATTTTGAGAATTCCGACCAGACACCACACATCCATGTGCCTGACACCAGGTTGATAATGTCACCGGGATTGTCGGACAGCATCACCAATAATATGAAGCGCTTGTTAGAGAGCTCAATGCACGATCGCAGTCCAATTCTGCCAAGTACGCATCACCCCCGATTCTAAGAACAAAATCGTACCACCAGAAGTCCTTGCGAGCAAATCGCAGCGCTGTAGTAAAATCCCAGTAATCAGGATACCAGCCCGCAGACTCCCAGTCAAGAAATGCCGTGACCTTTCCATTCTTGACTAGTATATTATGATGTTTCAGATCGCCGTGACTGAAAACAATACGGTGTGGCATTTTCTCTATTCCTCGGGCAACCTTGAGAGCATGGTTGTATTCCTCCTCAGATGGGAACCCGCCTGCCCATGCCGGTTGGATCAAATATTTATTGAAATCTTCTTCCGATTCAAAGGGACCGGCCAAGTGATTGGGGATGCGGACGCTTCGGATTGCGGTGCCCTCCAGCGAGCAAATCCGACTCCCCCACGGATTTGGCCATGCGCGCATAACCTGCAGATAACCTTTAAGCTCTTTCAACACGGACTCTTTGTTCTCGCTGCTTAGTGTCTCATAGACCTGGCCCAACTCTGCACCAGGCATACGAGTCATCAATATTGACACTGGTGCATGCGGTGTATCCGGATGGTCCCCATAGCTGATGACTCGTGGAACTGGGAATCCAGCTGCTCGGGCGACTTGCATTGCCAGAACCTCTTCGAGTCGGGTGCCATCCGACCATTTAAGGATCAACCCAAATGGAAGCTGGGCGATTTGATTGTCAAAGGGGATGCCAACCCAGCCGCAATACACCTGCGAGAACCGTTGGAGGTAGTCATGTACGATGCCCCACAGTCGCCGCAGTCGGGGGTGAGTCGGTCGAGGGGTGGGTGGTATTTGCCCATGGGAGAGTGATCGAGGATTGTCCTGCCAGATGAAGTCTGACAGCAGGCAGCGTGGGATGAATCGAGAGATCATGGTGGTGACAGACAGATGTACGAGTCAGGGAGAGTAGCGAGAGATGGAATAAATGAAAGCTGAGGCAATCTGGAGACGGGAGGCGGGAGGCTGGTGGGCCGGCCCATCGATGCTTTAAGTGGGTTGGGGGCGTATCCGCACAGTACAGTACAGGACAGCCCAGGACAGCTGTTAGCAAACGGAGCGTCCTAAGTGTCCCAAAAGCGGTTCGAGAAGGTAAGCTGGGTGAAGTATTGTACTTTGACTCCACTATCGGGTAGCTCACATCAACCTCCCTCGTATGCAATACTATAAGAGCTCAATGTCTTGATCTGACTGCATGGGAGAACAAACAATTGCCCTTTGTATAATACAGGTGGCTTAGGCCAGTGTGTGTTGTTCTTCCCGCGTGCAAATGGCACATCGGCGGTGAGTGCAAAAGAAGCGGTAAGGAAAGACATCCAACCGCATTTTTGAAAAACATTCGACACAATGCATGTGCTTAGTCAGCTATCCAGTCCTGCGGTCGGACCATTGTAGCCTGCAGTCTAAAATCACTCGAGTCTTTTGGCCTTGGCATCACCAGGCTCCCATTGCTTCTATCTCCCTAATCGACATTTGTAACCTCTCAAGGCCTTCTTTCAAGGCTTCGTTTCCCACGGTGAAAGTGACGCGGAACCAGCCAAACTCCTTTGGGACGTACACATGGCCGGGGCGATCAACACCCCATTCTTGGCACAGGTTTCGGCGATCTTTACTTCGCGCTCCTTGTAGTCTACTAATATCAAGGCTTTATTTGCTGGCGACGCGGAGTATAACCCTTTGGAGGTTGGTCGAATCAGATGGCGGAGGTCTATCCAGATAAACAGGCCGGCATTCCTCAGGATGGGTCAGTTAACTCGGGAAAGCGACCCCGAAAAACTCGGCTTCACATCGAACTTACATCTCACACAGTATGGTATCCGGTTTTGCTGAAAGAATGCAGTAGTTAAGCGGTAGTGCTCCTCCATGAGCTGTTTCTTCCTGTGCATGAAGCCCGTCCGCCAGTCCTTGTCAGCTAACATAGCTGCCCAGACATCCTGAATGAGATGAGGTGACCATGAAAATATACTGCCAAGAATCTATCAGCACCGCTCGAACAGCTCAAACTCAGTACCTACCTGATACTTGACATTGCGCCTAGGACACCCTCGTTCTGGGTACACACCAGGCCGAGGCGCAGGCCATTCGCGCAAAAGTCTTTGCTCGCACCGTATAAGACGTGAGCCATGGCCGGATTCATGTGTCGCGAGATGTCCAGCGTCAGTGTCGAAACGAAAGGTACAGCGTTCGGGAGAGCTGCGATGTTGAAGACGGACTGCGCATATATCTCATCGGAGATGAAGTGGAGATTGTGTATGCCGCAGAAGGTGGCGAATGCCTGTATAGTTTGACGGGGCTGTTGATTCATGTTAAATGTTTCTGTTGTGACAAACGAAAAGGGTCGAGAAGGCTTACAGTACATACATAACACCTTCCCAACGGATTGTGCGGGCTGTCATTCCATCACATGAGAACTCGAACCCCGTTTTAAAAGGGATCGACAAACTCACTGTGATATCAGAAGAGCACGAGGATTAATACTATTCTGCTTCGCATTACAAAACGTGGCCTCCAAGGCCGTACTGGGGACGTTGGGGCAGAAGAGATCTTCAAGACTCGAGTACCCTTCCACCCCGGTGTACGGGACGGGAACCACGCGAGCATTGCTGCGATTCAGGATATCGACGCCGAACCCATTATAGAACGGTTGCGGAATCAGAATGCCATCTCCTTCATTGCACACTGCCCAAGCTAGTGCGTCAATTGCACTAGCTAAGCCAGGGGTGACGAAAAGGTTCTCAGCACTGATGGTGTAATTGGGGTGGAATTCCTCATTCAGAAAGGCAGCCGCCGCGTTGCGCCGATGACGTGATCCTCGGGGGCCGGTGCTATACGTAAGGTGCTCTGTGGGCTTGACTGTTGTCTTCGTTGGCTCAGCTATTGGCCTTGTTAGGTTGGGATGTCACCTTGGTGCGCACATTGGCCTCGATGAACCCCACGACTTCTTCATGCATGAGACTATTCTTCGCGAGACGAAGTATGACTCTTGTTCGGTTATCACGGGGAATTGCCCGGATAGTAGGACTGGGTGCGCTTACGTTCCAGAAGGATTTGTTGGTGTCCAGGGATTGCCCATCGACTTCTCACGAGGACCCCAGACGTCTCGACTAACGAAGCCGCAGGCACCTCGCATGGACAAGCGATGCTGGTCCATCACTGCCCCAACTCTCTTATCATCGGGATTGAGACCATCCATGCCACTGTGGGTAGCTCGCGGTCGTAGAGAGTAGGCAGTAAAAGAGAGAAGTAACAGTGACTGGTGTCGTAGGGGATGTCGAGGAGACGAGAGAAATTTGTAGATAAAGTCAGAATCAGGAGGACGCTGATGATGAGGAAGTTGATGATGCTGCGAAGTGGGGTTCGGTTCGGGAAGACCTAACTTGGTCCTGTGTTCACTCACCTCGGCTTCTTCATCAGTCACCTCGGGCTCTTACCGCATATCTATTCTGGCATCAAGTATCAAATTTCTACCTTGTCTATTCCGAGTATAAATTCAAGGCTTGGCTGCATCGGTGTCAGTCTTCCGGAGCATCACCATGCGAGGCGACACTGATGGTAATCGTTCTTCTCGGGTGACCTCATCACCCTTCACTGAACAAGGCCACCAATGCCCTCAACCTATATCAGAGTGGCACAAGTGGGCCATTGTATGGATTGTCTGTACAGGCAGTATGTGTGTGTACGCGACCTTGCTGCTTCTCCAAAAGAAGTGCTGCGTGTTGACCAATGTACTAGGACATGCACCAGCTCGATCTATACCACAACATACACGCAAATGAACGCTGAGTTGACCACCACAAGCTTTATATCCACTCTGGGACTGTCGTCTTCTGTCCTAGGAATTGCTCTAGGCCCGCTGCTCACAGGCCCCTTGAGCGAAGCCTACGGTCGGAGGCCCATATACCTGATCTCCTGGTCATTGTTCATTGTCTGGATGATCCCATCTGTTGTTACCATACATATGGCATTGATCATTGTATCCCGCTTTGTCCAGGGTCTCGCCGGTGGTACCTTTTTGGCCGTTGCAGGGGGGACCGTAAGGGACCTATTCTCGCCAAACGAGATTCAGAAGCCGATGGTCATCGCGGCGTTTCCTGTGCGCCTTTCATCGGGCCCTCGTTGGGGCCATTGGTCGGAGGCTTTATCAACTACTATCTGCACTGGAGGTGGACATACTACGTTGTCCTCATTTGGTCATTACTTCTGCTCATCGCGATAATCGTTTCGGCGCCAGAAACGAACTCTTTGGTCAAACCTCGCAATAAACGTGCAAAGCCAGACTCGAATTTGGGAAATAAACGGCCTACGGCACAGTTAGGGACAGCCCCGCGCTCGACTGGTCGGCTTCTTGTACAGTCCCTTGTTCGTCCATTTCAACTGCTGTTCTTCGAACCAATGTGTCTTTGCCTAGACGTATATTCGGCCATCCTCCTGGGGATTCTATACCTGTTCTTCGGAGCGTTTCCGCTGGTCTTCCGGACCATGCATGCGATGAAACTCTGGCAGATCGGCCTTACGTTCCTCGGTATCATCACAGGGATGCTGATGGGAGCGGCCAGTAACCCACTCTGGATCAAGATCCGTGAGCGTCTGATACAACGTCATCACGAGGGCGGAAGCAGTGAGCCAGAGTATAGGCTGCCCCCAGCAATTCTAGGGGGTATCCTGATCCCCGCTGGCCTCTTCTGGTTTGGCTGGACAATCTACCCCAGTGTTCACTGGATACTCCCTATCATGGGGTCCGCCGTCTTCGGTTGTGGGTGAGTCGTATATTCACTCGCACTCCCAGCAATTGCTTCTAGCTATGGCCACGATATGATCACAGGTTGACTTTCTAGTTAGTGAAGCGTGGTATTCGCATTCATCGGCATTTTCAAATTTCTGGTACGTGCCTCTGTTCCTGCAAGGCAATCCCTACCTACTCACATGTCGTATCTAGGTAGACGCGTATCCCCAATATGCGGCCTCCGCACTTGCAGCCAATGGTTTTGCAAGATGCTCGTTTGCAGGTCTGTGTATTCCAACGAAGCGACCGTAAAAGTGGTTTCCTTGAAGTAGCACGTCGCTAACATTTGTCTCGCAGCTGCCTTCCCGTTGTTTGGAGTGCAAATGTATGAGAAGCTTGGGTATCAGTGGGCCACCAGTCCTCTCGCATTCCTCACGGTCCTCATGATGCCGTTGCCGTGGCTGTTTTTCAAGCATGGGGAAATGCTAAGGAAGAACAGCCGGTTCGCCACCGTAAAGGAAGAAAGGCAGAGGATCGTGGTTCTTGAAACGGATGGGAAGCAAGGGCTAGCTTGAGGCATTTGGAGGGCTAAGCACTGAATGGAGTTCATGTGAGGGATTTTTTTCTTTAGCGTCTATGACTCGAGGCCGTGTTGTTGGCAGCAAGATCCCCCCCCTCTCGAATCGGAATTGTACTATTCCTCGGTGTCAGGCAAACCCCCAGGAAAGAACGGTAACGATGAGCCTAGACTATTAAGCACCAATAGATCGGGATCAAAGGTTTGGTCGATATAGCCAGCCAAAAAGGTATCATAGAGGACCTGCTCGGTCGCTTGGGAGGAATTGCTCGCAGGCTGATTATCCGCCAGGAGTGCTTCGTGGCCATGGCCGGGCTGGTGACTTGGCTCAGCGCTGTCCAACTCGGAGAGAATGACGTTGCTTGGTCGACGAGATGCCGTAGCAGGATTAATGTTATTCAGAGTGTGTGGTTCAGTCGAGTCAACGGACGCAGATGGAGCCGGACTAGAATGGCCCGCAATGGTGGACGAGACGTTGATAATCGACCCGCCTTGTCGCGACCCCTGTCCTATCAGTCGTCTCAACAGGTTCAGAAAAGCCTTTGCAAACCAGATCCGGACAGGCCACGATCTGGAAGGTTCGCTAAGAGCGAGAAGGCACTGGCGTGACTTGTTCTCAGCCAGCCTCTGGCGAATGGGATCTCTTCGGCAGATGTTAAAGGTATGCACTAAAAGGGCACCAAACAATGCTGGTACACTGCACCATATAGGGTCAGCGACTGGATATCGTTATTGGCAAGGAGATATCATGGCCTTACAAATGGATTTGAGTACATTGGATAGTCCCCACAGCCAAAAGATCCTCTGCGATACGGGTGATTGCGTCGGCAGCCATACGCGCACGAGTATCTCTCTCCACATCTACAGAAGACAGGTGGTCGATTGCTTTGGGCCGAAAGAGAAGAATGTAGTAATTTCTGCGAGGTGTTAATATCGTCTACTCTCTGCTAGCGAGGACCCTTACTGATATGACATGTGTAGCATGTTGGCCCAGAATGACGCACCAAATCCATTATCAGGCGGTATTCGTCGCAGTCGCTCCGGCAAGTAGGATTCCCATTGCGCAAGTCGATCTGCCAACGCGTTGGTCTCGTATTCCTCCAGCGCCGGACGCCGAGGACTGAATTCCGCCACAAGAATGTCTCCGACTAGGGTCCCGCAAAGTCAGCCCACCGGCCCCAGGGCAAGAATTGTGCCTCGCAGACATGAGACTCACGGACTGAGGCCAGCTTCGACATCTCCATGACATACAAAACATGGTAGTCTTCCTGCTTTGGAATCAAAGAGTGGTCATAGTCATTATCAAAGTCGAAATCTTCTTGCGTAAGAGGTTCGATGTCGCAGTCTTCATCTCGAATACGACACGGTTGACCAAAGGCCGCAGCCGTATGTCGATCGCGAGTCTGGCTCCGTTAGCATCGCCCCTATGAACCTTTTGCCCAGTGCTGCATTACATAGACCGACCACCAAATACGCTTCCGCAAGCAGCGCACTGATCGGGGTGTGCCTAGAGGTAATAGGCTAGATGGAAGTCAGCCAAGCCTCCCCGGGTGAGACCTCCAGAAACATACGACCGATGCATCCCCAACGCCTGTGCTACGTTGGTTGCGCATGCAATCCAGTAACACGTATCCTTTCGATCCTCGGGCCCCGACCAATAGAAGCCCAGAAGTAGCAGAGCTGCTACGATGGTGACACTGCAGGTTTCGTAGTCTGCATCATACAAGGCCTTTGCGCGGAGGTAGTGCGTTCTCCTGGCCACGAGTCGGTCACTGTATCCCGCAGCATGGACAAGACTTTCGTCTCCTACCGTGAAGCCCAGAAGGTAAATAGCCTGCTAGAGGAGCGGAGAGGCCTGACCTTGGGCATACAAGCGGGAAAACTCGTGCCGATCAACGACCGGAAAGGCAGGATGGATCAGCTCGAAGAAAGCACGAATCAACTTCTCGGCCACAGGCGAGGGCGGTAGGATGAGAGTATCTCGCAGAGAAACTGGATCTTCGGCCCGGGGGCTATGTGAGAGGGTCTGGGCGATCGAGGGTGGAATGGGATAGTGGACTTTGGATGGGTGGGTGGAACCATGCCTCGGGGTAGAGTTGACCTCGATGATATAGGTGAGGGCGGAGGAGCCAGGGGAGCTTGTTGTCTGCAAGGTACGATCGATAGCAGCTTCTCGGTGAGGTTCAGCCGACAAGGGGGTGTTGGGGGTGTTGGGGGTGTCTCTATTATCAAGGGAGAGCGTCCGAGATCGGCGGGGCGTGGTCCGCACGTATTTGCCCCGGCGCGATTCTATCAGCTCGTAAGGAGTGCCGCGCGTGCGGCAGTGCCAACACGGTCGTTCAATGGCTGCATCACATTTCACACGTCTAGCATTGCAGGCCTTACAGGCTATGCGGGCGCGGGCCGGGGGAGTTGCGTCGGCCATGTGTGGTTACGAGAATGGGGATTGCTAGTAGGCCGGTGACTTGAACGAAACCCAAGTAAAAGAAAGAAGCCGAGGTGAATCGGATCAATCGGATGAGTCAAAGCTTAGTCAGTCCATCGGTCGGGGTTGTAGCACGTGATCTATCCCAACTTGCTAAGCGAGTTGCTCATGCAGCAGCAGCATCACCACCAAAAACACCATCAACGCAGATGGGTAGTCACTCTAAGCTTCCCCGAGCTTCTGCAATCCTTACCTAGTCAGCTTTCTTTCTTTTTGGTTGTTGGAGACTGTCGACCCAACAAGTTTTATTCCGCAGACGGACCACTGGGTTATATATTGCGGCGCGGGTACTGTACTCCTGGCTATAGATCATGATGGATCTCCAGATTGATGGGGTGGAGGCATTGAGGTCTAAAGCCGTGGAAGGCACATCCAACTTAACGCACGAGAGAAGGCTGGCCCACGGCGCATGCACATAGCAGGTCTGGAAAGTAATGACACACCGCAGAATGAGCAAGAATCCGGTGCCTTGCCAAGCATAGTGGGAATGGTTGCTGAATCTGGGGATGATAACCCTCACATTGTCAGCCCGGCCGTAGCGGAGGATAACCGATTTCTTGAGAACTATCTGTCAGCCCTGCCAACTGCACAGAAAACATGCTTCAGTTGGACGGGACCCGAATCTAATCGCTCTTTCAGACCGGTACGATTTAACTTGGTCCCAAGGAGGCCGTTGGGGGTTTGTGCAAGCCAGACACTGGCTGCAGCCAAATGTGAAGTGATTGAGAAGTATATGGGGCCCAACAGGCCCAACATGGAGGAATACCTGGATCTGTCGGTCTCTACTGGCCCTTGTCTTGGCAGCTCCTTTCAGCTGACTGATGCTATTCTTTAGGTCTTTTCAAAGAGCAAATGTATGCTTCCCAATCTTTGACGAAGCTTCATTCAGAAGTGCATATTCTCTTCAGAGGGACAAACTCTCGCCTGCTTTACTGTGTAATCTATATGCCAACTCCTTGGTCTATTGGCAAGCATCCTCCATTTTATCAACGAACAATCCTCCCGACATGCGTTTCATCTGGAATCAAGCCAACGAGGCCCTGCATTCAGAGCTGTTCTTGTCCCCGGGCATATCCACGGTAATGTCGATCTTGATCAACGTCTGTGGGCGACCCAGCACCTCAATGTTTGGCAACGGTGGAATGGTGGGCACTGCAGTTGCCCTCGCCAATGCTCTTGGACTGCACCGCGACCCCTCGGGCTGGGGAATATCGTCCCTCGAGAGGAGTCTTCGGATTCGGCTATAGTGGCTCGCCCTGATTCATGATCGCTGGTGCAGCCTAGCTTATGGAACACCGTTGCAAGTCCATCGAGCTCAGTACGATGTGCCTTTTCCAACGGCAGATGACCTCTTTGCTGTCGAAGCCTCGCCATATGGAAGATCGACAGCTTCTGTTTTCGTTGCGCTGACCACGCTGACGGATGTACTCGCCCGATATCTAGAACATATATATGCCGTGTCGAGTAGTTTCCCAGTGGTTGAGCAATCCGCCATAGACTTGGAACGCATGCTGAATGAGTGGGAGGAGGCATTGGCTGAAGACATGCGCAATCTCGTTCTTCGAGGAATGCATCAGGACCTACCGAGTGCTGCTAATTTCCGTCTGGCTTACCTCGCAGTCAAGCTTCTGCTTCGGCGCATACAGCTTGGTCTCAGTAGGAGCTCGGCAGGCGCAGACGACAATAGCTTCTCACCATTCTACATCCCTGCTCAACGGGCCGCCGAAGACATTGCGTACTTTGTGCAAGGGCTAACGGAGGATCAGCTCTGTGGATTCTGGCTTCCAGTGCTCGCGTTCTCCTTCACGTCAGCCACGATGCTACTGCTTCGAAGTGGCTTGCGTATGAGACACCAGCCTCACAACAAGCCATTGAAAGTTGCGAGAGATCTCATTGACGCGCTGCGGGTACACAAAGAGAGGTATGGATGGGATCTTGCGGATCACTGTCTTTCGCACTGCAGTGATTTGGTTGAGAAAGTGGGGATGCACAGTATACAAACCGATGATAGTCTCCTGGCGCCAGATTATGCCGATCTACCTTGTAACATCGATATGGACCCGGCTACTCTGGAGGAGCTCTTCGTCGGGATCACTGGATTCCCGGGCGAATTCGATGTCTAAAGTATAGGTATGGGTTTTGAGTAGTGACGGAAATGAAAGAATTCTCCTATTCAACTTGTGCTGAACGTGGGAGATGAGACATGAGGCATGTCCTACGCAGAATCATGATTGCAACGTGCCTGGCTGTTTAGGGTTGCCCCTCTCCCCGCGGCCATCGCGTTTCACCCTTTCTGGCCGCGGGCAACTTATCTCAATCATCCCCACCACATCTCACCTCACAAGAGCCTTTTAAAGACCCTCTTGACTTTCCAAAATCTGCTTCTCACTTCAGACTTCATCTCTCTCTCTCCGATTGAATACCACCTCACAACAAAGTATCCAACATGGGTTCCATTGATTCGACGACCGCCTTTTTCAGCCGGGCAGACAAATATCTAATGTCGACAGGCGTGCCCTACTCACCGGTGGTCATCACCAAGGCCAAGGGAACGCGGCTCTATGATGCCAACAACCGTCAAATCCTGGATTTCACCTCGGGCCAAATGAGCTCTCTGCTCGGCCATTCGCACCCAGAGATCGTCGCCGTTGTCCAGAAATACGTCGCGGAACTCGACCACCTCACCAGCAACATGATCACCCACCCGGTCGTCGATTTGGCTGAACGCCTTGCGCAATTTTCACCGGGACCCTTGGAGAAGTCCTTCTTCCTGAACACGGGCTCCGAATCCACTGAGGCTGCCATCAAGATGGCCAAGTGCTACACCGGCAAATTCGAGATCGTGGCCTTTGCCGCCAGTTAGCACGGCCTGACACAGGGTGCCGGCTCCGCCACCTACTCTGCCGGTCGTCGACGCGGTGGGCCTTGCATGCCGGGCCAGCTGGCCTTCCCGGCTCCGTATGCGTATCGGTCGCCCTTCCGGAAGCCCGATGGCTCATACGACTGGGAAACCGAGATGGACTACGGATGGTCCATGGTCGACCGCCAGAGCGTGGGGGCGTTGGCGGCCTTCATCATAGAGCCGATCCTCTCGACTGGGGGCATTCTCGATCTGCCCCATGGGTACCTCCCGCGCATGGTAGCAGAATGCAAGAAGCGTGGCATGCTCGTGATCATGGACGAAGCGCAGACGGGGGTCGGGCGTACCGGGCAGATGTTTGCTTTCGAGCACGATGGCGTTGTGCCTGACATTCTCGCGCTATCGAAGACTTTAGGATGTGAGCTGCCTCTTGCCTCCGTCAGCACCACTGCAGAGATCGAGCGTGGCTGCAAGGAGGCTGGCTTTCTCTGGCTAACCACCCATCTGAATGACCCCTTGACGGCCGCGGTGGGGAACAAGGTCCTCGAGATTGTCGAGCGTGACAACATCTGCCAGCGCGCCGCGGAACGAGGCGTTCAACTCCGCAGGGGGCTGGACAAGCTGCAGAAGAAATACTGGTGCATTGGGGACATTCGGGGCCGCGGTCTGCTGCAAGGCATCGAGATTATTGCAGACCGTGAGACTCGGGCACCGGGACCGGAGATTGGGCAAGCTGTATCTGACCGAGCGATGGTGTGTGGTCTGTCCTGCAACCTTGTCAATTTGCCTGGGATGGGGGGTGTCTTCCGCCTGGATCCTCCGGTTACGGTGACGGAGAAGGAGATTGGAGAGGGCTTGGAGATCTTGGACGAGGCTTTCCACTTTGTTCTGAAACAACGTAACTTGGTCTAAGCGGTATATAGGCTTAAGAAATGTATTGTGACATTCCATGACCCCCGCACAACGAATGCCAGTAGACCCCAGAACGTATCACACAAACGTAGAAACTGGCTGGTGCATGACTGAAACTCACTGTCATTTTGTCGAGCTTCTTCAGGTGTACAAGCGGCGTCTTGAGTGACACAGCTAAATCGTAGGTCTAGATCTGTTCAACTACGGAAGACCAGTGCGGCCATTCGATGGTCTTTCGTATTCAACGGAGCATATACTTCACAGGTGGATTTTCTTGCCCCCTGCAATTTGGAAATTGAGTACATGGTAAATTACCGCCGCCACTGTGCAACAAAAAACTCAAGACCTGCCAGTGGGTGATGTTCATCTCTTCCTTGCTCATGCAATCACAAACAGTATTCGGATTCATCTCACTGCACTATCTTCAACAGTGTCTCACGCGAGCCAAAGTCACAGCTTCTCGACGAATGTCATTGGAGCCTCCTGAGCCCACTCAATTGCATCAAGCTCAGCTTTGTCTGTGAATAGATCAGCCTCCTTGGCCCCTTTCCACTTGGCCTTCTTTACAAGCTTTTAAAAGACAAACAGGCCGAAGAAGAGCGGAAACCCGATGTAGGATGTGATGAATCCTGCCGTGTCGAATCACGCAATGGCATTGAAGCCATTGAAAGACACCACAATAGTGAGGTACCCCAGCATAAAGTATGTCGAGTACGGCTGCCAGGGAAATGAGAACGAAAGAGAGGCGCGGTCCACATGCTGTGCTTGAGAGCTGCATGGAAGTGGAGATATGCAATGCAAATGGCGATCCATGTGTATCTGCAGCAGGTCAGCAATACCTCCGCGTGCGGACGGAGAATTGACACACAAATTGGAAACTGTCGTCAAATCTTGGAACCACTGACACAAAACACTGGAGCTCGAGTCCATGGACATAAAGGTCAATAAAGAGATTGACATGGTGACGAGGAGAGCGTAGATAGGGACGCCCCGCTTGGTCCACTGCAAGAAGATAGCCGGCGCCTGTCGATTCGACGCCAACGCAAAGAGATACCTCGATCCCATGAAGACATAGGAATTTCCCGCCGAGATGCCCACGATGAGGACGACAGCATTCGCAATGAACGGGAGAGCCTGGATGCCTGCTAGCTGGATAGCAATCACCCAGGGCGACTCCGCATTGGATGAGGAGCTGGAGCCCAGAAGCTTGGGGTTGTTGCTAGGGCATATCATTCCGAGGGCCAGCGACGCCAGAACGAAAAAGAACAAGTAGCGCCAGAAGACTAGCCCAATGGCTGCTGGAATGTTTCGACGAGGATTTCCTGTCTTGCAGGCAGCTACAACGACGGTCTCAACGCCACCAAGAGAGAAGGAAGCGTTGACCAGCGCTGAGAAGAGTCCGAGGAGACGACCAGTGGGTCCGGACGCGATATACTCTTTCATAATGCCATCAGACTTCCAGTAATGAAACCCCAGTCGGTTCTGAGATGGTACTCCTCTAAGATCAATGACTAGAGCGGTAATGAGCAGCCCGATAATCCCACAGAGTTTGATAATGGCGCACACAAACTCAGATTCGCGGTAGACCTTGACTGCGAGGATGTTGACGGCCAGCAATAACACAATGAGCATCACAATCCAAACCGCAACACTAGCATGGCTTGCACGCGACCAGTATTGGATGATGCTGCACGCAGCGGAGGTCTCCGCGCAGAGTGATGACTGCGTTGAACCAGGTGTTCCAGCCCACGGCGAAACCCAGGGCATCATCGACGTAGCGGGAACAGAATTGAGGAACAGCGCCAGGCACAGGAAGCCAGGCGGCCATCTCACCGAGAGCGATCATCATCATAAGCCGAGCGAAGCTGGCAATGGCATATCCTAGGAAGAGAGGGAGTGGGCCCGACTGTCTCAATGCTCGCCCGATTCCCAGAAACAGCCCCGTCCCCATGTTGCCTCCCAGGGCAATGAAGGTTACATGTCGAGCTTTAAGTTCCCGTTGGACATTCCCGTACTTCCCAGTTCTGCTTTATGTGATTAACCGGATTGCCCTCACTCAGAGCATCAGACCCACCTGGGTGTCATTCTTCTTCAAGCCCTTGTCACCAGTCATGCCGTCAGCCTTGAGGTTTCGAACTTTGATTGATGGTTGTTATGTCCACGTCAAAGTAGGCTCCCCTGGGACCTGGAGACCACCCCGGACCCCAGACATAACTATCGCGCCTGACACTTATCTCTGCTCCGATCTGCTGCAAAGCTTTCCCGCGGCCAAATCTGCGGGCGGGGGGTGGGTCGACGCGGTCTGATTAGATACACGGTATCTGTGTGCCTCACCCAAGCGAGCCCGTTGTGATGCATATCGATGACCTAAAAAGCCGAGGTCCATGTGTCATTTGGTTTCATGGTATCATCTTATCTCGGGGTGCTTCTCCAAGCTCAAGAAGCGGTATCTCGGTCGTATGCGGGTCTTTCCCGGCCTCAGAAGATGCTCGTTGGGACCGACTGCCCTTCTGTCAATTGTACGAGACATGTGTAGCAGGCTACATCATAGCGAGCCTAATCAGCGGTCCTTCAAATCAACAGGTCCACCAGTCTCCTAAGGAGCACAAATGAAGTAAACCCTAACACAATTATTAGCGCCGTGGGAGTGCTTTGCGTTTATATACAGCTGCGTCAGTTCCACACTATACCGAACACCTTCTTCATAAGTTCGCACTCAACATAGTACGGTGGGATGAACTTTTCGATCATCCGATCCCAGACAGGGCGCCAAGGTGGATTGAACATTGCCCGATAGAACTCCCAGTATTCCGGCCAGTAACCAGCTAGCCCCCAGTCAAGCACAACAACCACTCCATCTGCGCGAACGAGCAAGTTGCCGGGATGTAGATCTCCGTGCGTAAAGACGATAGAGTGCCCATGCAACTCTCTGAAAGTCTGGTACATGATGTATTCTCGAGTAGAAAACGCAGAGTCCGGACGATTCACTTCATCCCGCGACTCCGGTGGGAGGCGATCCCTCAGCGCCTGTACCACGCCCTCATTGAACTCGGGCTCGGAGGCATACGGTCCATAGCGATAGGACTCGTAATCTCCATAGCCACCTTCGAAGATCCCATCTCTACAAGGGGAAGAGTCAATGCCGCCGATGAACCGCCCGATGATACTCCTCATTTGCGTGACGTAGTCTTGCAGCTGGTGCAGAACGTTCTCCTGTTGCGGCTCAGAAGCACGGTCCCAATAAGTGTCCAAAGGCTCTCCCTCCTCATAAGACATCACGATGTGCCCGACACCGTCAAGTATGTAAGCGCTCAATAATCTGGGAATGGGTATCGAGGTTCTATTGGATACCAGGTGCATTGCTTCAGCCTCAGCTAGACGAACGCCGTGGCCATATTTGACCAGCATATCGTCATCAGCCCAAACTATACGAGCGCCCATCTTTCCAGGACAAAGCTCGGTCGCTGACTCGAGATCCTCTGGGTCTAGGATGATTGTAGGTGGTCCGATCTTCTCCGAAAATATCAATCTTGGTTCTCCTGGACCTGAGCCGGTGATATCGGCGTTGACCTGCGCCGTTTGTACAGCGCTAGCACCAGAAATAGTCTGAGAATCGACGTCCTGTCCCCCACTTGCAGTGATTTGTCCTGGCGACTGCGGGTTCTGTTCGGTTATTTCAGTGCCAACAAGGTAGTCTCCATTGAAGAGCGATTCACTCTCCCCACCATACTCTACTGGAACGGCTTTTCCCTCCCAGATAGTGTACCAGATCCACGCGATGGGATAGAAGAGTCGTGTGTGCCAGAAACCTGTCAGGCACGCCAAGGGTAAGAAGATATTCTTCCGAAGGATTAATCACGTAGAAGATATCCAAAAGAGAAGGATAATGTAGATCTATTGATGAAACAAGATCACTTAGTTTCTGGATAATCATGTCGCGAGATGACACGCGCTGTGGCTGAGCGGCAGGTATTGGAGCCAGTCTGAATTCGACCACACAAGCAGCGGCCTGGTCATTGATAGGTTCGCCGGTGCATGCCTCTTGAATCTCCAGCTTGGCTAGGCTTTCCATGGCTGCTAGTCCCAGGTGCATCAATCCTTGGCGAGTCATGAAATCCTCGTGTGAAGATGCGAAACCTTTGATGACGCGCTCATCTATGATAACCCAGAGAACGAACTTGCCTTGCAGGCGCGTAATGTGAGCAATCCCTGACTCCTTGACGATTGCCAAGGCTTCATCCATGGTTTCTGCTCTATTAAACCGCTGCCATTCCAAAGTTCTTCTGAGTGACTGAGATGCCCGGGAAATTTGCAGTGAAGGGAGAATAGAGTAAGCGCTCAAGAACTGGACTATGTCAGCCAACAATTCAGATTCATCTGGCGTCTTTCGGACTAGTACTCTACCTTCCGAATGACAGCTTCAGTCCCCTGCCCTCCTTGTGCAAGGTCCACCCCCCAGATGACACTGTGCCTGGCCTTGGATATAAGACTAGGTAACTGACCGTAGAGTTGTGTTATCTTTGCAGCATCCATCATGGTGGTCTGTGGTTTGAGTGGCGCGGCATATGTCACGAAGAATGTCCACAGTGTCAGGTCGAGAGACAGGAATCCGACTTTTCTGTGAGACGACGAACGTTAGGCTGGTGATGATAAGCTGCCAGCCGAGGTGAGGCTGCGGTGAGCGGCGGTACGCGGGAATGCTGGGTGGGGTGAAAGGTGAAAGGGGGTTCGGCACTTTCTTTCTGACGTCCAGCCGCGCGCATAATACACGCAGCTTCCATTGGCCATTACCATGATTGTCCCCACTCGGCGCTTGTTGTCAGCGATGGTCGCGAGCAGCCCTACTTCCTCCCGGTGAGGGAACATTCTGGATGGTGATGATCATTAGGAACCCGCCGACAAGATGAAGCAAGCGTGTCTCCAGTCGGGCCGCCAGTGGGTGGAAGGCAATCTCCACGCGTTCGAGGGATCCCCCGATGCTCGATTTGCGGACCGCGAAGATCGGCCCGTTGGTAAACTGGCCCAGAACCCAGCCTTTCGCGATCGCATACAGGCCCTGTCCGCTGAAGGAGCAACAGAGCGACCGGTCTACATTTCCAGTCCATTTTTCTCCACCAGCAAGCCTACCAAAAATACATAGCAGCATGTTTATGGTTGATGGTACCGGTCACGATCGCCCTCTCGTGGGCGCTCCGTCAGCACGCGATGACTTGCTGCCCTAACCCCCTACCTTGTCTCAACCTGAATCCCCTTTTTGTGGATAGTGAATTCCATATTGGACCAGAGAGATAGTGATATCTATGCCAGTCACCCAGAAACAATCAAGTTGCTTATTCTCCATCTTCCCATCTCATTCCACTAAGATCGCACGACCTGTTTGGGCTCCTGTGCCTCCGCCGCAAGCTTCTCCATATACTCCTCATACTCTTTGATGTTGTTGATCCCCTTAGGCATTCCATTGGGCATCAGCCCCTGGTCGTCCATCAGCTTATCCCGGACCGCCATCGCTCGCTTCCAGGCCGGACGCTCCACCATCCGCCGGTGCCACGCCTGCACGTTGGGGTAGGGAGCCAGGGGATCCTCCCCGGGCTTGGTCATGAGCACAAAGTCTAGTCTTGTGTTCCACGGCATGAAAGAAAGATCGGCAAAGGTACACTTATCCCCGACCAACCAGGTCTTCCCTCCTCCCAGGAGGGTTTCCAGCACACTCAGCACGCGGCGGACCTGTCCGTTGTAACGCTCAATGACGGAGGGTAACCTTTCGGGGTGGAGGACGTTGAACCTGACAAACAGTCCATCAGCTCCTTTCTCGGTTTTGGGAGCAAGAAGGTAAGAAGGATCGGTCGATCGATTGATATTTGATTCTTACCACCCTGACTGGCCGTAGTAAGGCCCTTGACCACTCATCTGGAAGTGTAGATACTGGTTCAGCAGATGGCGCTCGTTGAGTGACTCGTAGGTCAGTTCTTTCTCCGTATCATAAGTCTCCTCCAGGTATTGAATGATTGCCCCGGACTCCCACAGCGTCAGGTTGGTGTTCGGGTCGACAATGGCGGGGACCCGCCCGTTCGGGCAGATGTCAATGTAAGGCTTGTCCTTGACATGGTCGAACTTGAAACTCTCGATCTCATAGGGGACTCCAAGCTCCTCGAGGATGAGAACCACCTTCCATGGGTTGGGCCCCGAGGCTGGCAAGGTACGCAGGGAGACACAATTAGCCCGACATTCAGACACAGCCTGCTGGGAAAGGGGAGGAGAGGCAGATCACGTACGAGTCAGCCAGACAGTGAGTGGCTGGATGGCCATAGTGGGAAGTATGGTCACTGAGTATGATTGTTGCTAGAAGTACTAAAGTGTTGTGTGGAAGTCGAAGTGCTTGCGGCAACGGGTTAGGTATAAGTATGAAGCGAGGAGAGCTGGACAAGGTCAGCGAGCGCGACCGACTTTGCATTTGACTGCTTTCTTTGTTCTAGGTAGGCATCCTATCCTTATGACCACATCTGATCACATCCAACTAGCGGGGGTCACTAGAGACTAATAAGCACTAAGAAACACCACCAAGCATACTGCTAGGCACTAACGCTTAATTTGGCCCGGGATCATCCAAGTCCCAACCCCACCAATCTGTGGCCGGCTCATCCCCTGGGGATGATCGACTGCCAGAAAATGTTACCAAGGCGATCAAACAGTTCGATTTGTCATTTTGCTATGTAGACACACATTTTTAGGTTCTAGTATATAAGTCATTAACCGAAATCGAAATGAGCTGCGCGATCCATATACGGCCAGTACGGCTGAGTGGACGGGAAGCCCTGTTTTCCACACCCTGTGGTCGTATGTGCTGGGCTAACGGGTACGAATGTGTTATAGAGAAGAGGACATAACAGGACATAAAAGATCCAATAAAACAGACATATCAATAGATTGTATCACAGAAGAAATAGGAACTGAACTCTAGCAACAACACCCTCGCCCGCCTACTGCCTGCTTCATCTTCGAGATTGCCGTCTCGACTCGGCACGAAGAAGCGCCCATGTCACCCGTGGTATCGACTAAGGCTCAAGCACAATTCCCTGGAAGCGGCACGATGGCTGTCGGTTGATCGGCAGAAAGCGTCGCCCCGTATCTCTCCGAGTTCTACGACTTGGTGTCGATTGGGTGTATCAACAGTCCTACCAGAAAGCTGCGTTGCTTGTCTTGGAGAATAGGCTGGACGCTGTGAATTCTGAAGGCTCCCGGGAGGGCCCCGCTCCGCTCCAAGGGCATTGGATCTGTTGCATGAGAGGAGGATCAGGAGAAAGAAAAAAGAAATTGAAATGGAGACAATCATTTTTCTTGTCAGCTCCAACAGCACACTGAGTGATTCATAGATGTCTCCGGCTGCCTGGGGATAAACACGTCCACCGGCTCTGCCCCTGTGTACTGTATTGTAAGTTGTCGCGTTAGGCCGACGGAGAGGCGGGAGAGGCGCGGCGTCAGGCACGTATTAGATGTAACACGAACTGTAACTTGTTGTTATACCCAGACACACCCCTTGTTGCTTGTTGTAACACATTGTCCCCTTTCTCCCTTTAACCTAATGGCACACTCTCACCCTATAGTCAAAATCCCCCCTCAACTCTGTCGACCCATCCTGGCCTACGGGTCTTCGGGCATGATAGGTCGGGACGTCGAGAATGACCAGGAGGTCTGGAAATGCCCAATCCGCTATGACACCCATCAATGCAGCCCAGAAGGGGTTGCCCAAGCACATGAAGTGGAATCGTATTCTGCCCTGTGCATGGACCGCGAGAGATCGATTTACCAACATCACCCTCTGCATGAAAACATTCTACAAGGCCTGCAAATATCAGACATCGGTATCCGCCTGCCCTACATGCAACACGGCAATATCCGCGCGTTCTGTCAGACCCGCTGCGTCACGGATCAGACCAAGGACCAGTGGATCAAAGCGGCCATCGCAGCAATCGCTCATCTCCACTCTCATGGTGTTATCCATGCCGACCTCAGTCCACGTAACTTCTTGGTCACTGATCACCTGGCCCTCAAGCTTTGTGATTTCGGTGGATCGGGACTCCAAGATCTCCCCTCCATTGCGGAGGAAGAGGACCCCTACCGGATCTTCCCTGGAACGCCGCGCTCCTTCCACACCGATGTCTTTGCCCTCGGCTGTTTGATTTACGAGATCGCGGTAGGAAAGAAACCATACGCAGACATAGACGACGAGGACTGGGAGCAGATTGCCAATAATTATGCGGCCGGGAGCTTTCCGCGCCTTGACCGAGTGAAATATCAACACATCATCCGGCATTGCTGGATATTACAATACGACGATGCACAAGACGTTCTTAGGGATATTGGAGCCATGGAGAGCCCGCCATAAAGCTACGCGTTCAACTACGGCCAAACATCTTGCATCTCTCGGCATTTGCCCGAGCCCCGCAATTGAGCTGGCTCTTTCACTACCTTTTCTGCAAGTCCTCGTCTGCACGATGTGTCTGGAAGAACAAGATAGTATCCAATCTATGTACTTTACATAAGCAAATGAGGCGACATGGAAAAAGAAAGCAAAGGAGAGCGAGAAAAGACACAGACATACTGTACAAGTGATCAAATCAATGCCACATGACAGCTTCGCAACTGCACGTCCATGCCAGCAAGGTATATACATTCTGACCATAGGTCATTGAAAGCCGGTTCAATATACGATCGGCAGGCCGGTCCGCAGTCAAGCCGATGACGAACCCTTGTACGACCGGACCTCACCCTCCGAGTCCAAGACGGCCTCCTGCTGATGCTCATCCGGGCCGAAGCCCTCATCCATCCCCGGCCACAGCGTGCGCCGCGTGAAGTAGGCCCAGATGTGCATGCTGGCGCAGCCCAGCCACAGAATCACTTGTATAAGGGTTGCCGCCGTTCCAACGCCCTGGATCGCGGATGAGTCGAGCAAGTCGCCGATCTTGATGATGGCCAGCGCAAATCCGGTGTTGGGAAACACGGTCGCCCACCAGGTGATGTCAAACTTCCACTCGCGGCGGGCATCGAAGATACTGAGCCATCCAATACTCCAGAAGAACAGGGCCACGATCCAGAGGAAGATCGACATAAACACGGCTATCACCAACAGGACGTCGGCGGTGTTGACCTGGTTGGCGATGGGAATTAGATGGACCGGGAACTTCTCGGTGGCGGTCTGCGCCATGCCCATCAGCGCCACTGCCGTGAAAGCCGGCGGCCCAACGGCGATGAACATCTGCGGGCGACGACGCATGGGCGGCAAGCCCTGATGGTGTAGTCCGTGGATGTACTCGGCCAGGATGAACACGGAGATCATGAACCCAAAGCCTTGCAACGCAGTCCCGGCGATTAGCATAGGGATAGCGTAGTGTGAGGGCTGGGCGGATGTGAGGAGAGAGGCGATGGTGCCGCCCAGCATGGCTGGGAAGGATGGGAGGAGACGGACAAGCCAGAACGGCTGTCGAGCGGCCATGCGGGTGCGGTAGAGGTGCCAGTTCATGCCCACGGCCAGACAGATGGCAATAGCCGTATAGATCCAGAAGCAGACCAGCTGGACCCAGCGAAGCCACACTCCGCAGGCTGGGATACCGTAAATCTCGATGCCGAAGAGGATGGTTGCGAAACCAAGGGCGGCCGTGGCGATCAAGTAGGATTCTTCGGGGTCATTGAACGTGTCGATCAAGGCGTGACGAAAGCGGGAGAAGCGGATGATCAAGGAGGTCCAGATGCCCAGGTAGGTGACGATGTCGAGAATGAAGAAGATCTTGCCAATCACCAGCAGGCCGTCGAACGTGTGCGGACAGTTGTACAGCAGAGTCGCAATACTGCCGGTGCTCATGGAGATGGAGAACCATCCCCAAGTCACTCGACATATTCGATCCAGGAAGCTCACCCTGACGTTGTCCATGGTCCTGGGGGTGCAGTGTTCCAGCTGTTGTATGGAGGGAATGGGGGAAGAGGAACGCGGGCTCTGGGGGTTGAAATGTCTCGCGGGGGAGGCCCTCATCTTGGAGGTCGAGGGTTCCACCATCGACCCCATGCGACGACGTAGTGGCTGGAGACGTGGGCAGCCGAGATGCCGGCACAGCCGACAAAAGCAATGCGCGGTTTTTGTACTGGGCAACCTGGGCAGGAAGACTACGGACTGGGTGGCCTCTACGTCCAGCCCTCCTCTTCTTATCTCCGCGGCGGCAGCCCGCGTCGGTTCAGCATGGTTGCCCTCGATTATTCATAGAAACCATTTTCTGGTGTCTGTAGCACCGTTTTGGAAAGCGTCCTGGGAAAAATATTCCAAGTTCATCACATCTTGCGAATCATTATCCTGTCTTACTACTATTATTGCCGGTAAAATTATCGAGAGAACTCACTCGGACTTGAGTTGGCCGGTGATCTTCCGACTCGGGCCGATAAAGTCCTGTCGGCCAGGCTTTCGGTGCGTCAGTACTTACGAACAAGGGGTAAATGATAGGTATGACCGTAGTCGGGGTAAGGCCAAGCATTCTCGGCAAAAGCTTGACATGACCCACTCCTCTGGGTCAACCGGAGGTGGATTTCCCCTGGAATGAGGCGACAAAGTTTTCCGGGGATTTGCAACTCCGCGCCTCGGACGAAAATCCCGCAAGCTGCCACTCCAAGGCATCCACATTACCTGTGGGTTTCGTCCCTGGCATTGGTTATATATCGCCGCTGATAGCCTACTCAGCATGCTGAACGACAATGACAAGGAATCTATTGACATTGGGTGCTTGTTTTTTGCCACCGGTGCAAGCGAGATCCGCGAGACTACCGAGGCTATGGTCTGTTCGATCGACTTCAGCCGACTTCGACGTAATTCAAAGGACTTCGAATACTTCCAAATCCATGAGTGAACATACCCAGTGACAGAGGACTTGGACTCTGATGGGGCCATGTTCGCAGCTTGCTTAAGAAACTCCATCCGATCATGTGACTGGTAGCCCCTGATGACCTGACTGTTTTGCGCTTCACGTTCAAGATATATGAATAACAGTCTTGGCTTTGCGCCGACTAAGTCATTGGTGTCTAGAGTTGAGAGGATTTCCTTGGTTTTATGACGACCCTTCAACCCTTCATGTTGTAGTGTCAAAGCACAGGGTCAAGAGTATATCCGTTGCGCTAGATTGGTAGGTAGCGACGACCGGCAACAATTGTCACGTTGTCCCATCCGTGGATCTGGATGGTAGTCGAGCAAAGAGGCAAGTTGCACCTGCAGTGAATATTTCCACCTTCCCACCCCACCAGTCTTTCTGCCTCGCTCGGGCGGTGGTTTCAGCCAAGGGCTCGGAATCCCCTTCAAGCCGCTTACCTAATCCCCTTCGACACCACCAGCTCGACCGGGTCAATCACCGTGATAACTTCATCACGGAGTAATCTCCCTGTCTGCTACAAATGTCCGGGAGGCAGCGCCGAGAGAGGGAGGTGGGTCCGAAAAGGGGATTCGGCGTAGCAGTCTGCGGCACTGGTGCCTGTCATCGGGATCGAGGTAGATTAATTCTCAGCCTTGGCTGACGGCTTCAGGGCATCGAGACCCATAACCCCACATTCTTCAACTCCTCTACCCTAGGGCTGAGGGTCTTTCTCCCAGACAATGTCAAACAGGGGACTTCTGCAGACTGAAGCATGGTCAGCCCTCAGGAGATGCCCAGGCTGCCGTCTAACCACCTCCAAAACCTATAAAGCGACCTTCGTGCTCCCTCGTCGACCATCACACCAGATCAATCATCGCACCTCCTCCCACCTCATACCTCCTTCATCATGTACACTCGGGCTCAAGTCCTTGCGGCCGTCGCCGCCCTCGGTGCTACCACCGTCAACGCTGCCATGGGCCCTGCCTTCAGCACCGGCCCCGTCGCCTCCAACTCGTGGATCCGCGAGGCCACCTCCACTCTGGTCCTTCCCAACGGTCCCAGCGGCGGCTCGACTGATGCCATCACCTCCCTCTGGGTGGGCATGGGCACCTCCAACGGTGACCTGATTCAGTCCATTGCCGATAACTGGCAGCAGAAGGACTGGACCATGTACGCCTACACCTTGATGAAGACCGGTGGTGAGTATCCTGCTCTGAGGAGATGCATGATCAAGAGGGACAAGTTACTGACCCGAGTGTCGGTGTAGACTACAGCCAGATGCCCATCTACGGTGATGGCCAGGAAGATGGTACCAAGGGTGACAAGGTCACCATGCACTGTAAGGCTCCGTGGGCAGTTTTTTTCTTGATTCCAGACTGAAATATCCCTCCAGACAAGTTCGACGATGCCAGCGGCAACTACACCCAGACCGTTCAGATCAACGGCAAGACCATCTCGACTCTCTCGACCAGCGACGGCCACGCCCAGGGCTGGGGTAGTGCGGTGGAGTGTGCTGAGAACAACTGCGGTACTGTTGGCGCTCACTGTAAGTCTCTCCCCATTCAACCCCGTCGCTGGGAATGTCACTCACGAACTGGCTCTAGCCTGGATCGACACCAAGATCATCCTCGACGTGGCGGACCCCAACTACATCAACACGATGGCCAAGGGGAGCGGGGTGACGGGCGAGATGACCACCACCGACGGTGGCAAGACCTGGACGGTCTCCACCATCAGCATCCCCGAGTTCAGCTTCGGCAACTAAGCGGACGACCGCGTCATCCGTCTCGGGGCTCTTTGTACTATATTCTCTTACCCTTCTGTCTGTATCTAGTTTCACCTATCTCAATTGATCCCTCAGTCATGCTCGCGCCAGCGTGAGCGACATCAACCAGCAGATATGCGTTGTCTTGGTAGATGGAGAGTAAGGCACTGGAGCACATGTCAGTTCTCCCCGGCGGCGAAGTCGAAGATCTTTTGCGACCGTCCGAAAGAATATGTATTCGGGCGACATTGCGTCGGTAGCAGCCTCCGATGCCCGTCACTGACTCAGAGACATGGCATTGACTTTCATATGGGAGCAGCTCACTGAGTAAAGTCATGCATTCCTATTGATATCACCTTTGGCTGATTAAGAATTGATGGAGGCAAATGTGCCAGGTGGTCAGTTTCTACTGCCTAGTAAGTAAGGTACCTACCTACTAGGTACTAGGTATCTCAATGCACCTTCCGAATTCGGGGCGGAGCGAGCCCCGATGCAAACGGGGCAAAGAGTGCAAAGGGTGCAAAGAGGGCAAAACATGCAACAACGGCAAACCATGCGGGTGGTATCGCGGCACGTGACGCACACCGCGCGTTCCTGGCCTAGTGCTTACTAAGGGACTCCTTGACGGTGGGAAGAACCTCGGCGAAATCTTCCCTTCTCCCTCAGCTTCTCCCTTCTCCCCCCCTTCAACACGCGATGCAACCATGGTGAGACACCATCAGCTTTCATCTACAAAGATGCGATCGGCGTTCCACCACACGGCTCAACGCCCTGCCAAGCAGACAAACCACTTTTTGAGTCCTTAAGTCGACAATAGCCTCCCAGTGGCCTGCCCCTTGTTTCTACGCTGGCTGGCGCAAACTACTGTAACTACCGCAAATCCCGTTACACCAGAATCCCAAACACACTTTGTGCAGGCTACAACTCTACCACAGAGTCATGAATCGCCTCCCTGTCCTGCTCCCCCAATGACTTATCGAGTTCTCGGTCAGCACGGTGGGGAATCGGGCCCAGTTTTCCCGGTGCGGCGCATTACAGCCCAGTGCAGCGCTGCGATAGGCACAAAAACCCCACCCAGGATCTAGATTCACCCATGTGGAGGCGGCTTAGTTCCTGCCCTCTCCCGATCCAGATCGCACTGGACACGATGTGGCCAGGAAGCCCCGGTGGGAGTGCGGGCCCGGTTTCAGTGCTTCCAGGGCCTGGTTGCTCTTATCACTCGAACCAAGTCGATCTCAACCCGACTTTCCAGCTAGCACTCGAGAACCTTTGGGTCCGCCGAAGTTTAGATTGATTAATTATCCCGTCCACGCAGTCTAGCGTCATTTATCCAACCAGGAAAGGGGAAATTAAGTCGCCAGCTGCATCCGCCACATGGTTGGTCCCCTCCCCCACGATGATCCTCCAGCCTGCGATCGGCTCCTGGACTGGCCTTGAGCCCGCCCCAAATAAAACCAGTCGACGACTCCCCTCTCGACTCCAGTGATTTCTTCCTGCCCTCTTCCCCGCTGCGACTTCGCTCTCACGCTCATGGCTGCTCAGGAGGCCGTCTTCGCCGTCTCGGCCCAGGCCACCCAGCTGGGGAACCGCATCTCGGTGCACATGCTGGACTACCTGAGCACCGTCCAGGACTTGCCCGACGGGTTTCGCGAGTTGTCGCAGACCTTTCTCGACACTTGTCGCGCCCTCTGGGCCATTGACGCGGGCCTCACCGATTCCACCGCCGCCAATCGCCCCCTGCCCGAGGTCATCGTGGAGGAGGTGGCGAAGAAGTTCGTCGCCGCCTATCGCGATTTCCAGCATCTCGACAAGCTTGTCACCAAACTGATCCAATACGAACATCGTGGCGCCCTGGGGAGGCTCCAGCGAGGATGGCACCGCCCCAGCCACGAGCTCGGCCGCATCCGCGAGTCCCTCCAGAAGACGACCGAAACGCTCCAGATCAGTGTCCTGGCCTTCCACTGGACTCTCGGGGAACAGCCCTTGGTGGCCGAAACAGTGGGAATTGGCTATGCTGGGCTGGCGGCGGCCCTTGACCGCATGGCTAAAGGTCGGTCGGTGATGGGCATCAACAAGGCCAAGTCCCTGGAACGCGTAGCCACGCAGATGACCTCGGTGCCTTCGTCTCCCGTGCCCTCGGTGCCTCCGAAAGAGCCACTCGTCCAACCCGCGACGGGCATCAGCAGTCCGCCCCAATCCAACCCCGATGACACCCTGTCCTCCGTTCTCTCCCTCGATTCCCTCCTCCTCTCGAACCACCACGATCGGGATTTGCCCCCGTCTCCCCCGCTCGAGCCCTTGCCACGATTGCCACGACCAGACAGTCCACCCCTTCGGACGAGCTCGCGCGAGTCGCGCGCCGAGACTCTCATGGCCCCCGAGGGCGATACATATGGAGAGATGCTCACGCAGTCCCGGGCGTACACTTCGTCCCCCCGACCGCCGCATCGCACGCCCAGTCGCACCAGCGCGGCCAGTGCCACACAGCTACGCAGCGCCCTGGCCTCCGCCGTCCGGGCCCGAAACCACAAGTTACTGGAGCAGCTCCTGGACAGTGGAGTATCACCCAACTTGGGAGAACAGATCCATCCGCTGAACGAGGCCGTGCATCAGCGGGACTTTGAGGGGATGCGGCTGCTCCTGCTTTTCGGGGCAAATCCCAACGCGCCCGATCGGGAGGGTAAGACGCCATTGCTCGTGGCGGTGGAGGAGTCCTTTGTGGACGGCGCGACCTTGTTGCTAACATACCGCGCCGATGCCAACTACGCCCCGGAGTCGGGGCTGGACTCGCCGCTGAGCCGCGCGATCGCAAACGGCAAAATCAGCATGGTGCAACAGCTGCTCGCGCATGGAGGCAACCCGGATAACGAGACCCCCGACGGCAGCACAGCGCTGATCGAGCTGATCCATCACCGTGCGCCACCCCAACTGGTGAGCCTGTTATTGGAGGCTGGCTGCGACCCCAACCGCAAGGGCCGCCAGGGAAAGACGGCCCTCAATGAAGCGGTGCAGAGCGAGCAGGTCAATGTGGTGACAGCCTTGTTGGAACATGGGGCGAACCCGAACTTGCCTGGCCCCGAGCATGTCCTTTGGCTGGCCATTTATCGTCCTGCCTGTTTGCGGGTGCTGCTTGCTGGCGGAGCCGATATCAAGAAGACTCCCGGCCTCATGGAACAGGCTACCAGCATCAATAACATTGACGCTGTCCGCATCCTGCTACAGGAAGGCGTCGATCCCAACGCCAAGAAGGATGGTATCTACACGCCGCTCTGCTCAGCCATCCGCGACGATCGGTCCGACATAGTCAGCTTACTGCTGGAACATGGTGCCGACGCAAACGTCATGGCGTCCGAGTATCCGGCCTGGAAGTGCATCACTCATAATCGTCCTCATTACCTCCCAGCCTTGCTGGCTGCCGGTGCTGATCTCCATCAACCGCCGGGGATCGTGGAGATGGCCGTCCAAGTCAACAACCCAGAAGCACTGCAGTGGCTGGTTGAGCAGGGAGGGGCGAATGTCAACGATCGCAATGCCCAAGGACATACAGCCCTGACCACCGCCATCCGGGAGAACCGGTCCGAGATGCTGAGCTATCTGCTTGCCCACGGGGCTGATCCCAATCAGCGAGGCCAGGATTGGCCGGTGTGTATGGCGGTGCGTTCGCCCGCTCTGCTGCAGCGACTGCTCCCAATGGTTCCTGATCTGTCCGCCCACAAGGGCGTTATGGAGATGGCTGTCTTGGCCAACCAGCTAGAGAGCATCAAGCTGCTGTTGGCTGCGGGGGCCAGTGTCGAGTACAAGAACGGTGGCGTCTTCTCGCCGCTGACGACCGCGCTGCGTGAGCGGTACGTGGACATTGTGCGCTTTCTGTTGGAAGAGGGCGGCGCCGACCCCAATGCCCCCGGCGAACATCTTCCGCTGGTCAAAGCGGTTCGTCGTGTCATCAACGGCGACTATTCTATGGTCGAACTTCTTCTCGAGAAAGGTGCCGATCCCAACCAGACTTACCGGGATTGGAACGCAATCATGCAGGCGATCGAGTACCGGGACCTGCACTTGTTGCACCTCTTGGTCCAGAAGGGCGGCGGCGCTGATCTCACACAGCACGATGACGCCGGCCAGACGGTGTTGGAGATGGCGGATGCTTCCGGCTGGTCCGAGGCTACGCAGTTCCTCCTCGACCACGCGCGGCCGTGATTTCAATTCCCCATTCGATTTCTCACTTTTCACTAATCTCATGTAGTAACAAATAACAACGCTGCCATGTCCAGCCCGGCACCTTGATTTCCTATGTTTCTTCACTTGACCTCATGCCTAGACAACGGGGGCTCGCGCCGATTCTCTTTGCTTGATCTTACTGCTACTTTCGAGATTCCCTTATCAGCTTCGTGCTCGAGCACAGACCTCGCAGATTGCCGATGTGTCACGTGCCACTGATTCCTATCATGTTCGATCTTCTTGTGCTGTTCTTTGTCCGGTTCTTTCTCCGTTGTCGTGCTCCATGTATAAATCCTAATATACATTCCCTTAATCTATATTTTGTGAACTTGGAGGACGAACTTTGACCCTCTCTGTGGAATTTGTAACGTCTTGATACGTGCCGTAGCCAGGCACTGGCTGCAGATACATGGTGCCACTTGGGGTAGCATCACGGGATTGTAGCTTTGCCGGATTGTCAGATACTGGATACGCTAAGGTTATTACTCCACCCGGGTTTGGATTAATCTCGTCGACTTGGAACCGATTGCTAATCCCTGAGCGACGCCACGAGAAAGTTTTGCATGAGATATTCCACCGTCGACAGCACCTGGCCCAGCAGCAGCGCCGCCTCATTCTCCGGCAACCCCAACTGTTTGACCATGGAGATAGCATCCTCGCGGGTGCCCCGGCGGACTTTCAGGAGGGCTTTCATCACCTGACTTTTGTTGTACCGGCCAGCGATCTGGGTGACCGCCCGGATAAACACCGAGTCGTCCGCGACGAGCTTCCCAGATACCTCGCGGACGAACTTCGTGACCGCTTCGAGCGTATTGTTTCCCAGCGCCTCCTGGAAGAGCGCCAGCCCGCGGGGTTGGAACACACACCACAAAGCGGGCGATTTCCTCGAGGCTGCTCAGTTCGTGGGCGGACAGCCGCACCCTGAAGAGGTGCAGCTTCACCTCCACGCCCAGCACACGCGCGGTGGCCTGCAGCTCGCCGTCGAAGTAGGGGTTCTCGGCCGTCCACGAGGTGGCCAGGTTGAGGTGGATCTGGCCCTTCCCGAGGTGGCGGTCGATGAGCTGGTCGTGATTGACCGCGCTGACGGGCGTGGGGATGGCGTTCAGGTCGGTGTGCAGATCGAGAGTGAGGGAGGAGTTGAAGGCGCACTCGGCGCGCAGGTTGAAGCGGTAGCCCACGGGGCCCGGGGCCGTCTGCTGATTCAGGTCGACGACGAAGCCGTCCCGGTCGACCCGGGTGTAGATCGCCCGGCAGATGCCGAAGACCTCCAGATCGCCGGAGATGAAGGCCGGGGATCGATCTGTCTTCGGTCGCTATCACCATGATGGGCCCGTCGGTCAGCATCGCGGGGTCGATTTGGCCCTGTGTCGGGGTCGGGATGACCGGTTCGCGGCTTTCTCGCTGTACCCGATGTTGTTGCCCGTGATGCGGAACAGCGCTGGCACGTCCGGGCGGAGGATGACCGGCGACATCAGGGCAAGGATGTAGAACGAGGACGGGGAGATGTCGATGAATGCGTACGCAGACCAGATGGCGTGTTCCGAGACGTCTATCTAGGTTAGTACACGTCCACGTCCGACATTGCAGCTTTGGGGCGCAAACAAATGCCATCATACTCAGACTCATGTCGGCTTCGAAGTAGATTCGCTGTTTGAGCGGCGAGCCATCGACATCCACCATATCGCGAGGGACGATCTCGACCGCAATGCGGGGTAGATCGGGGCCATCGTTGGAGACGAGACTGTCCACCACCGCGGGCCGTGAAATGCCCCTTGCGAAGGCCTGCATCAAGTGAGGGACATTGAGTCGGTCGATGGAGCCCTTGAGAGAGAATTGGCAGGCTTTCCTTCACAGAAGCGGATATTGACACTAGGGCGTTATCAGTCAAGGGGGTTCAAGAAGGAGGCAGAGAGACAGGCCCGGGGATACCGACCTGCTCCGAAGGTCATTGACGGAAGCGAGACGAAGCGGCCGCTGAAGCCAATCTGGGTGGGCACCGGCGCCTGCACCGGGTTGAACGTCGCCTCGACTGCAATGTTGACCATTTTCAATCCCTCGATATCAAAGTAGTCGGGCAAAGTGCTGGGGGGCGCCGGTCTCAGCTGCATCCTGTAATTGTCGAGGTTGAGCCCCATGGCGGCTTCCACTCGGACCGCAGACTTCCTCAACGATGGAAAGGAGAGCAAAAAATGCGCGTGGGAACCGATGAACACCCAGGCCCCGGGGCGGGACTCGACGAAGGAGCCATTCATGATGATTCTGTCGTGGAGGATGAGAACGTCGCGCAGAAAGGTGTTGATAGGGCTGAGCGCGCCAGACATGAGCACGGTGGTCGTCACGGCCAGCTCAGCGGTCACGCCGGGGCTCTCATTCTTGACATAACGGTAGCTCAAGGTTGTATCCTCGAGCTGGATCGATTCAAAGGACGAGCCGGCAAGGGATGGGACCTAGTCGCCCAACGCTACCCTCCACAGCGTGGGCTTGGGCATCGTGCGCGCCCCCAACCTGTTGACCCCGGGCAGAAACTGCATCGACTTCAACGAGGAGATCAGAATCAAAGCCCCAAGGACTTTCTCCTGGTCGGGGGATGTGCTGGCGGCTTAGATGGTGCTGACTACATAGTTGTTGTATTGATGTCGCGCGTGTTTTTTTTTTTTTTTTTTTTTTTTTTTTTTTTTTTTTTTTTTTTTTTTTTTTTTTTTTTTTTTTTTTTTTTCTTTGACTATTTGTGATTTATAGATTTAATCCTATATAACAGCAAGGAGTGTGTACCTTCAACCGAGATCAGTAGACCATACGCATTGAAACATGAAGAGGCAGATAGGAGGTGGCTTGATAACAAGCAACGAGAATTGTCCGGGTCTCATAGTAAACAGCTGGCACATTACAAGACGCGAACCTCTCCCTGGTCGCCTGACGCAGGCTTAACATAGAATAATAAACTGTGATCGCGCCGTGTAAAACCTTATTCCGAGGCATATGTATGTATATCAATATACAACCAATATTAGTATGCCTTGGTGCCAGGTGGGACGGTGAATGTATAGTGGCCATCCCAATTTGTTCCAAATTGATATTGAGGTAATAGTATTTTTTTTTTAAACTTCGTGCTTGTAGTACAGTACAAAGGTCACGGCGTTGAATATGAGACAGCATAGCTGACAGTAAAGCACATACGACCACAGGGTGTGGAAAACAGGGCTTCCCGTCCGCTCAGCCGTACTTAAGCCACACGCCGGGAGGTTAGTAGTTGGGTGGGTGACCACCAGCGAATCCCTTCTGTTGTATGTTTTTGCTTGAGTTTTTGCTACCCTATACTCGCTGGACGGAGTCGGCAGTAACTATATATACATACATATATGCATTGAAAACACTCGACAAGTCTCCATCGAAGTTAAGCCGCCGATGCAGCTCAAGAAAATGAGAACGACCTCCCCTTCCAAGCAAGTAGTGTCTATTGTCACCAAGCTACTGACTAAAACATGACTCGTTGTCATATACATGTCGCTCGTGGTTGTCATCCTCATCCTCCAGCTCCTCGTCCAGGTCTGCCTCGATCGATTCGCGAGCGTGGTATGAAAATATCGGCCTCTCGATCCAGACAATCTTCGAATGCACGACTGCGGGATTCTCGCCAACAGTACCAACCCTACATCCTAAGCAGGGATGTTATCCTCACGGGCCCCGAACAATCTCCGGCCTTGCAGTAGTCGAACGCATGAAATAGTGATACCACCAGACAGGCGCTCATCGAAAGTTTACCAGCTGGACTGTGCCCTACCTTGTCTCCGCGTCGCTACCAGCGGAATGCACAGTCGTTCAGTTTTGAGATCATCGGTCATGATCAAGGATGGTGCAGTAACCCGTAGGATGGGATATAGTCTTGGTATGAGGTATTGATTATGACTCCGCGAGCGGATGGCACGACCCCAGACCCTGCTTTGCTTTCGGAAAACGTTTGTCAGTCTGAGACGCAGGTAAAAGAAAAAACACTAGAAAGCTGGGGGAACCACTGCAAACCGGCTGTACTGTTTTAAACTCCCCAGATTACGATGGGGATGCTCGTTTGCTGGGCCAAATGCCATGACTGCAGTGGCCAGTACTCTCTCCGTACACTATATTCTGTAGTAACCTGAGGTATCGAGCACTGGGCCCCGCGCGGGTGGCTTGCCGAAGCCGGGTTATGCGGAGACTAGACTAACGTTACAGCTGGAGACGCGCACCACCGGTATATCAACTCTCCAGGTGCCACACATACTCGCGGCCTGCATGATTCAAGACATTGTACTTGACCTGCAGGACCGGCTCGATGCTGCCTCGACCTCCCAGTGCTCGGATTATCCGTCGTGTTCTCTGAGATTGCCCGTCTGATTTTGAATCCATTATAACTGACTGATACTCCACTAGAACATAAATACTTTCAGTAATAGAAATCGCAACCATGCACAAATCATAGCGAAGGATTGTTTGTATCACTCGATGACACCCACTACCCCTACCAACTCCTGCCATCCGCGCCCTTGGTCAGCTCCAATCCCTCCTCCGTAACTCGGCTGCCAGTCTTCTGATGCTGACCACGAGCATGGCGACTGCTGATCGCAGGGAGAAAGACTCCCGGAAACGCAAGAGTCATGAGAATTGCACCAATAGCCACCATACTGATCCCAACTCTACTCAGCACAAGAAACACAATTCGTCAATCGATTGGCCCCACTTACGTCCCGTCCAGAATCATAAACTTGGTCTCATCTTGCATCATTGGGTTTCCCCATCCGCCTGCCATCTCGGGTATTCTGATCAATGTTAGCCGGTGATTTGACATGGTCAAAGTCTCAAGACCCTATAGACAGGACACACCTGTAGATGCACCGAATCAAGATTGTCACAAAAGCCACCGTCTGACATCCCACAAACCCCGCAAACCCGCTATGGCTCACCGACATCCATGAGAGGGGGGTATAACCGGCCTGCTGTCTCCGATGCAGATACACTTTCCTTGTATAATCGATCGTCAACACCCCACACACCGCCATCGTGGCCGCCTGGAAGGCAATGCCGGCAATCATGATGTTCGTCCCCACGCGTACCGTGCTCTCCGACCCCTTGCCGTTCGCCGCGGTCGCCTGGAGCCCGCCACCGGCTAACTGGGTGCAGAAGCCAATTGCGTCGCAGATGATAAACAACCAGGTGTAGAGCTTCGGGTTGAGGAGGGAGAATTGGGGACCGCAGGTGAGCACGATGGTCTTGACGGTGAGGTAGAGCGCAGCGGCGAGGAAGGAAGGGGAGACAATGAGTAAGAGGGTCTGGATGATGAAGCCTCCGTTGTTCCAGGGGTTGGCGTGGAGCATGAGGCGGCCGATATAGCCGACCCCCTCGCCTGCACATCCCAGAAAGACTAGGGCGGAGTAGAGGCGCACTCGGTAGCGAAAGCCCAGGTAGATCTGGGTCAGAGCGCAGATGGCGAAGACGAGTAGCAGAAAGATGTTGCCGCCTAGGTTGGGATAGTAGCCCAATGTTGTGGCCGAGACGGGGCAGGCTGGAGTGACGCTGGTGCAGTTGTCCATGGCTTGAGAAAGGGTTGCGTGCTGCTGCTGCTGCTGCTGGTGGGGATGATCTAGCTCAAGCTAGGGTGTGCATGGATGTATTTAAGCTTAATCTAGACGCAATGGAGAGCTTTCGTCTTGCAATAGATCCTGTTACTAAAAATGGAAGCATGATCGTGTAGTTGGCGGAGTGAATCGGGATTTAGATTCGTTCCTCGTTCCTCGTTCCTCGTTCATCGTTTATCGTTTATCGTTTATCGTTCGCTTCTCGTTCATCGTTCAAGGCCCGTGGCGGCACGCCTTCTGATTGGTTCGACCCATATTTTTACATGAATTACATGGGTAACAGATCACCTATAGTTAGTAGGAACTCTACCTATTTTCGGATTCGACACCATTGAAGGGAGGCTGTAGACAGACGAATACATACCTTACCGTACAGTACACATCGGAAGATCGTAGGCCCGAGATGGAATCCCTCGGTATTCCGGCTGAATTTCTCTCTTCTTCTCCGTACTGTACCTGTTTTACCCCAGGATGCCTGCCAAACGCTTCCATCGGAAGTCCCGCAATGGCTGTCTTCAGTGCAGGCGTCGCCGCGTCAAGGTACGCCAGCCTGGTCAAAGACTGTACTTTCATTACTCCACTACTAAACTAAGCCACTTAGTGCGATGAGACACGCCCTGCTTGCTTCAACTGTGTGCGGGCTCAATGCCCCTGCCTCTACCAAGACCAAACCCACATCCCTGTATCCCCACAACCACAACCTCAACCACAACCACAACCACAGCCACAGCCACAGCCACGACCACCTCCAACACCAACCAATGATGCCTCCCCACCCCTATTCGACTCACTCGATCTGGTGCTAATGAACCATTTCACCGCCGTAACGGCCCTCTCCCTATTTGACGGCCCCAGTAACCTGCATGTCTGGCAAAGACACATCCCCTTCGAAGCCGGGTCCAACCCTATGCTGATGCACGGCCTGCTCGCCGTGGCGGCTCTCCACCTTGCAATCACCACCAGAAGCCCACCTCATACCCCGACCAGCAATGACACCTACCACGTGCGCGCGCTGCACCACCACAGTCTCGGCCTGCAACTTTTCAACACCCAGCTTGCAAGCTTGTCTCCCGGCCACGATGGCCCCTTCACCTTTGCCATGCTCCTTATCGTCTGGGCCTTCGCTGCCCCGATCGCCGCCAACGATGCGCTCACGCTAGACGAGATCATTGACTCGCTCGGTCTCATCCGTGGATGCAAGGCCCTCTTCCTACTGCACCAGGAGACCATTCTCGATCGTCCCGTGGGGCAAATCGTGGGCATCCGTCCACAGCAGACGCACCCTGCCGCCTCTTCCCCCGGACCCTCAATCTGGTCTGATATCCACGAGCTCTTCGACGACCTGCGTACGATAGCTCTCGACGACCTGGTCTACCACGACGCCATCTCATACCTTCAGACGGTAGTCTGCAAGGCCTATAATCCAGTGACGGGACCGCAGAATACGCGTCTCGTTGCCGCGTGGCCCGCGAACGTCTCCGAGGAGTACTGGGCGCGGCTGCGACGCCACGAGCCCGTGGCCCTCCGGGTGTTCATTCACTACGCTCTGCTGCTGCAATACTACGAGGAGGACTACTGGTGGATGAAGGGCTGGTCGAGCAGTGTTCTCACAGCAGCAGAGGGGGCGCTCACGGCGAAGCAGAGAGATCGGCTGAGCTGGGAGGGGTGTTGCAGGAAGATCGTGTCCTTGAAAGGTAGCCGGGGGAGCAGCCACCAGAAAGACGAAAGTGCGAACTGCACGGGCTAATCGAGCTACTGGCGAGAAGCCGAGCGTAATGCATAGAATGGTATAATGTGATAATGACGAGTCCTTCGTTTCGACTCTTTTTCCTACTGAGAAGAAAGACAAGGGCATATCGTTAGGACAACCGTAGGGCTCGGCCTGGGGCACAGTGCTAGAGCTTGCTCCCAGACACGCCTAATCCTCGCATACGTGCGAGAAGGGTCATTGAATGCGGTCGGCCAGTCGGATGACAGGCGAATACAACCACCCGTTGATTTCTGATTTCTTCTACGATCGCTGTATCTTGGAAGATTTGTCTTCTAACCGTTGCATGGAATCCGCCGGATGATTACACTGTAAGGTAAGAATCACTAGATTACCGACGGAGCTGCTTAGGGCTAATTCGGGGCTACCGCTTCGGATGAGCCAAAATGCGACTGTCAGAAGCCGCGAGTATAGGCCAGGCGAGTTCACCATATAAGGAATTTATTGAGCATATAACAAGAAGCCCAGGTGGGTGGGCAAGCCCCGAAATGAAGTTGAGCACCTGTAGACTAGTCCTTGGCCGAGCTCTTTTACCGAGCAATTCCGGCTAAATGGAATCCGTGCGGCTGCTGTACCTGCATGCAATTAGTGAAACCACAGGAAATACAGGCTGAACGGGCCGTCACGCCGTCGGGCTAATCCCCACAGACCCTGCGTATTCCATCACTTGCAACTGCCGAAATGTGGGGTTGCACGCAGCTTTCTTCAGGCACCCGTGATCCCTCTGCGTGCTCTCCGCGCCGATTCGGGGTTGTCTCAGCGCCACCCACCGATGGGGTCCGATGGTTGGTTTGGTTCTTCTGGCTTGGCCTTCGGGCCATACTTGCACTGCATGGGTGATTGGGACAGGGAATAGATTACCGACAGCACTCTATCCCCATTCAGAACGGAGTAGGGCTTCCTCGGGTAAGCATCGACCCATCTCATTTCCCCTATCACTCCGACCAGCCTCATCTTCCAGAACCAAGAGTTGGAATGGACACGGAAGACGGCGCTGCGTCCCAGGGCAGCGCGGCAGTTCATCCGTGGGCCTGTGGGTATGACATATAAAGTTTTGCTCGTCTCTGTCCACTGGAAGAGGCCTTGAGAGCAATCGAACGCCAATCATCCTCTATCTTTTCTGCTACCTCTGAACATTTTGCGTCACGTTTCAACATGCGCTATACATGGTCGGTCGCGGCGGCGCTGCTGCCATGCGCAATCCAGGCTCAGCAAACCCTCTATGGACAATGTGGTGGTCAGGGCTACTCCGGACTCACCAGCTGCGTGGCGGGAGCAACATGCTCCACCGTAAATGAATGTAGGTGCTCTGTGAATCTGGAAATCTGGCATCTGGCAGCTGAGTGACCATGGCCTTCAGACTACGCTCAGTGTACGCCAGCAGCAGGCAGCGCCACTTCCACCACCTTGAAGACAACTACGACCACCGCTGGGGCGACGACGACGACGACTAGCAAGACTTCTGCTTCCCAGACGTCTACTACTAAAACCTCAACCAGTACCGCCTCAACAACCACGGCTACAACCACGGCCAGCGCGAGCGGCAACCCGTTCAGTGGGTACCAGCTCTACGTGAACCCCTACTACTCCTCCGAAGTGGCCTCCCTGGCTATCCCATCCCTCACGGGGACACTTTCCTCGCTCCAGGCTGCAGCCACAGCCGCAGCCAAGGTGCCCTCTTTCGTCTGGCTGGACGTGGCTGCCAAGGTGCCGACGATGGCCACCTACCTGGCCGACATCAAAGCCCAGAATGCAGCGGGAGCCAACCCCCCCGTCGCCGGCCAGTTTGTGGTCTACGACCTCCCTGACCGCGACTGCGCCGCGCTGGCCAGCAACGGCGAGTACTCCATCGCCAACAACGGTGTGGCCAACTACAAGGCCTACATCGACTCCATCCGCAAGGTCCTGGTGCAGTACTCGGATGTGCACACCATTCTGGTGATCGAGCCCGACAGTCTCGCCAACCTGGTGACCAACCTCAATGTGGCCAAATGTGCCAACGCTCAGAGCGCCTACCTCGAATGCACCAACTATGCCCTGGAGCAGCTGAACCTCCCCAACGTGGCCATGTATCTTGATGCCGGTAAGTTGCTTTATCTGAAGGCGTCCTGGAGGAAAACCCCCAGACCCCCCTTTCTTTCACCTTCCCAGAAAACGCTCCCTTGACACCCCCGGCAATCCCTTATACCTCCTCATAGAGCGTCCTGGGGGAGAACCCCCAGACCCCCCTTTCTTTCAGCTCCCCAGCAAACGTCCTCCCATTTCATTCGCTACAATCTAACCAAACTACAGGACACGCCGGCTGGCTCGGCTGGCCCGCGAACCAGCAACCGGCCGCCAATCTGTACGCGAGCGTGTACAAGAACGCCAGCTCGCCCGCCGCAGTGCGCGGCCTGGCCACGAACGTCGCCAACTACAACGCCTTCACCATCGCCTCGTGCCCGTCGTACACCCAGGGCAACAGCGTCTGCGACGAGCAGCAGTACATCAACGCGATCGCCCCGCTCCTGTCAGCGCAGGGCTTCAACGCCCACTTCATCGTCGACACCGGTATGCGCCCACCCCCCCGCCCGCACCCCAACTGGCAAAGCTAACGGATCCCCAAACCAGGCCGCAACGGCAAACAGCCCACCGGCCAACAAGCCTGGGGCGACTGGTGCAACGTCATCAACACGGGGTTCGGCGTGCGCCCGACCACCAACACGGGCGACGCGCTCGTCGACGCCTTCGTCTGGGTCAAGCCCGGCGGCGAGAGCGACGGCACCTCCGATAGCTCGGCGACCCGCTACGACGCCCACTGCGGGTACAGCGATGCCTTGCAGCCGGCGCCGGAGGCGGGGACCTGGTTCCAGGTATGTGTCCTATGTTTTCAACGTCTCGATTGAGTGTAGTGGACTAACGGAAGGGGTGGTGGTAGGCCTACTTCGTACAATTGCTCTCGAACGCCAATCCGGCTTTCTAGATCCGGAGGGAGGGAATTGGACTGTTGGATGAGTCGGGTCGAGCGTTACGGTGTCTACAGCAAGCATAGGTTGTATGGTCTGCTTGTATGCTTGGGAGAATCATTAGCTGTAGGACTCAGCAGTGCCATAGTGGCCAAGGTTATAAATAAAGATACGTTCCAGCCTGAAGCATATCTGCCGCCTGAAATCTGCGCTGTGCTGATAGTGTTAGATGTGTCTTCGAAGAGCACGGTAATGTGTGGATCTTCGGGGGAGTAGCAGCTAGAGAAAGACTCGTGGAACGCCCGATTCCGGCAGAATTTCGCTCGAACGAAGCACGGCTTAGACTAGGATTAAGTAGTTGCCATATATAGAAGCTTGTGGATGGTTATCAAGACTATCTTCAAGCTACCCCAATCCGGGCCGGAATTGATCAATACTATAGATTGTTGTTGGGGCACGAGAAGAGCTACCCTGAACGAAGACTAGATACCCATAACTGCAATGCTCTACGCCATGAAAGCGGAGATGAGTTCCGCCAAATGCGGGAAATGGCCACCCGCGTTCATTGAGTCGAGAAGCGATGGCGCGAGAGTGGAAGTATGTTGTCATTTTCCAGTCTAAAGTACTTGAATCGTATCGTCATTGAGGAGCGCCAGGGCATCCGCATCTCTTCTGCAACTTTGCATTATGGCACCCAAACGAGCAATACGCAAGAGCGCATTGACCGATTGCGTGCATTCCTGAGGGGATGGAAAGGCCTCATACCACACACACCCTTGGTCGGTTACGCAGCACACATCCCAGGAGTGCCGAGAGAGCACCACCTAGTGAAGACTCTCATCCGAACCGAACACGGCCTCGATATCCGACCGGTAGAGCTCGAGGGAGCGGGCGCGCTGCGGGTTTCCTTTGACGCTGAGTGGCAGGGGCCGGGACGGGTCGGTGAAGACGACAAGATCTCGGCGGAGGGCGGCGAGGATGGGACACAGCGCGTTGGCCTGGTCGAGCAACGGCTGGAGAGTGTCCCAGATATCTGTAGTCGGAGGAAACGCACTTTGCGCATCTGGGTGGAGGTCCAGCAGCAGGGCAAGGCTACTGTGGCGCTCCTCGGCAATGAGGGCCCAGCGTACAGCCGGATGGGCCTCCAGCACCCACTCCATGTCGCGGGGCAGGAAGCGACGCGGCGGAGAGCCCACGAGGTCCGCGCGGCGGCCACCGTAGCGCCAGCAATCTGGTTGCGAGGGATGCCGGGCGAACAGGTCACCCATGGGATACTCGTCGCAGTCGCGGAACATGGCGAAGACGGGCTGGGCGGGCGCGTCGGGACGTCGCAACAGCACCAGCTCGTGGTAGGGCCCGCACACGGGGCGGTATTCGTGCGGCACGTCGGGACTCAGCTTCAAATAGGCCCAGTCGGCCGGGTCGGGCAGCACCTCGGCGGGCAGTGTGCCAGACTCGGACGAGCCGTAGATGTGGGTGATCTGGGTGTGCGCGGTGATTTGGGAGGCCAGGTACGGCGGGCAGGGAGCCCCGACGATGGCGAGCTGGCGCACGCGGCGTAGGTTGGCGGCGTAGGCCGGGTTGGCGCAGGTCTCGGGGAGGGTCTTGGGTCCCATAATACAGGCAAAGACGTCGCCGTGTTGTAGGAGCTGGTCCATCAGCGTTGCGGTCATGGAAGGACCAGGCCCTGTTGTCACGGCGGGCAGCACCAAGGTCAGATCAAAGCAGAAGTTCATGCCTAGGAAGGGGAACAGGCCCGCGGCGATGGAGAGGGGCGTCAGCACCCCGACGCGCTGGCCGCGCCACTGCTCGTAATTGACCGGACTGGGATCCAGCAGCTTCTGAAACCCCACCGGCTGCAGGTAGACAGTGGCATGGGTGAAGACGATGGGCTTGGCAGGCCCCGTCGAGGCCGAGCTATGAATGACGGTGAAGGGATCGTGCAGCACCTCTGCCATTGTTGGCGTGAAGGGGTACACGGGAGTCGGGGCGCCCTCGGCGGCCAGCCACTCCTCCAGCGTCGGGGTGACGAGAGCGGTCAGCCCGGACTTGAAGGCTCGAATGGCGTTGACCTTCTGCATCGCCGACGTGTGTGAGCTGGGGGGATACAGCAGCAGCTGGCAGTCAGTGTGTTCCATGAGCGACAGATGCGTGTCGACGTCCGCGCTGGGGTGACAAGTCAGGGTCTGCGGGGGCCGTTAGAGCTGGTGAATTCCGAAGATGTGCCCTAGCGAGAAGATATGTCTGCCTCTGTGAAAGCTTACCTGATATCCTGTTTTAACGGCGGCCAACGTGATAATGAAGTACGACAGGTCTTGAGGAGCCACATAATGCAGGGTGGCCCAGCGGGTCGGAGCGCGTCCCAGGTGCTGCTCAATCCACCACGCGGCGCGATTCACCGCACGGGAGAACTCCTGAATGCTGTAGTCACGGTATCCTTCATCCGGCCGGTCCTTGTTGCGCGGTAGGGAGACCATAGGGTGGTTCGGACATAGTTCGGCGAGTTCATCGACCAGGCGCGGCAGCGGGGTCGTGTGCCATCGCTGGGAGAAGTAGTGAGATACAGGGAGGGCCATGGGAGGAACGGATGTAGTAAAGGTATTTGATGTACAGATCACAATGGAACAGAGTGAGGATGGAGCCTAATTGAGGCAATTGATTGACTACAAAGAGATACTGAGTGGAGAGAGGAAGGGGGGGTGTTGAGCAATTTATAAGCCGTGGGCTAACAGAAGAGGGGCCAGCTTTCACCAGGCGGCTCAAAGCCACCTTTATTGCCCCACTCCTATCCAATTGGTGTCATCTAATGGGAGCCATTAATATAGCTAGTATGCAGGTTGACACTCCTCTCCGGGCGGAAGGTCTACGGAGCCGCTGAGGGCGTCAGAAACGTCTGTGGATTAGTCCAACATCCCGCTTATACGCGCGTGAACAGACTACAGTGCCAAACGAGAAAGCAGCCCAGAACGCCCTTGGATCCCACGTGATGCAAAATATCTACAATATACAGAAACACACTTGACTCCGCCAGCGCTATACCGACTCGGCCTCGAATCGGACCTCATTTTTAACCTGAATCTGCCCCAGCAACAGCTCCTCGCCATTATTGCTCTCCGTCCGACTGTTACTGCGCACTGCGGTGGTGTGTAATTGATGCGTCTGGGGCTCGCCCCCTGACCCGGACAGGGTCTCGAATCCACGCGCGGTGACGTGGTTGGAGGGGAAATAGCGCTGGGAGGATTTGGACGTGTCCGTGGCTTCGATGTTCAGTTTTCGCATTGCCCAGCGGACGATGGGACGCATGGTGGGCAGGCAGGCGGAGATGACGCCAAAGGAGACCTCCAGCGAGGTCCAGATCACGGTGCCGTTCATGGCCCCTGTAGATGGTGTGTAAGCGACTCTCGTCCAGTGGTTCTCTTCTTTCCCCCCTTTGCGACCACCAGAACTAGACTTACAGGTGAAATCCGGGTCATCGACTTTGAACTGCGTCGATAGTCGAATGCAACTGCATACCACCACACTAGTCGACCGATTCGTTAGCATTGAGTGCCACATTGAAGCAGCAAAACGCGGAGGAGGCAACCCACAAGCCCCCCAGCAGAAAGATAGCCGACAGAGTGACCTTCTGGATGCGGGTGGTCTGCAGCCCCCAGACCATGCGCAGGGGCAGGATCAAGATCATCACATCGGTGCAGATGTTGGGGACCGCGTTTCCGACGTAGAAGGCCTTGCTGCTGACGCAGGTGGCCGGCACCGACTTGTCCCAGAAGCCGTTCAGCGGGCGGCAGGAGAAAATGGAAATGAACCACACAATGACGGCCCAGGCGACGACCAGACTGCCGACGACATAGACGGCGATGCGGAAGGGGCGGATTTGGAAGATGCGGACGTAGTAGGTGAGGATGGACAGTTTGACGGAGAGGATGGTCGCGGTGTAGATCATCTGGTAGGCATACATGCACTACACGGGGATGCGCCCGAGATGGGATGAGTGACTGCACTGCACGCGAGCAGGAAAGAGAGAGAAGAGGCACAGAAACGAACCTTGAGGTACTTGGGGATGTTCCCTGTGGGCACGACCGCCAGATGACGACCCGATCCCAATGCAACCACTGTGTCCGGCTTGTCAGTATCCAGGGCACATTTAGGGTTCCAGAAGAATCGTGGACAAGAGGGTGACCGACTGATGGTGGAAAGACTGAAGCAACCCAGCGAGCAGGCCAATCCCACGATTATTAAATAGTCATCCAGGCCAAATCGCAGCCGGGTCAGAGATTTGGCCAGCAAACGGAGAACAACGGCGAGAATGGATAAGACGGCAAAGGGGATGATGGCGCCCAGAGTCTGGCTCTGGGCGCTCTGGTTGAGCGAGGCGGTGGTCATGGTGGTCGTGGTGGTCGTGGTGGTCAAGACGACCAAAATGACCCAGGTGACCAAGGCACAGAAATTACCGAAAGTTGAACAGACCACAAAATGCAAAGAGAAGAGAAATAGAGAGGGGAGGAGAGAGGAGAGGGGGGGGGGGGATAAGCAAAAGATGGGGGGGGGGAAAACGTGCAGAATGTCCACCTTCCTACTATCTTACCCTGTCTTCCCACGTTCCATTGTCTGATGTGCAGATTACCGGGGTCTCTGACTTCGGCCCCCTCAATGCACCAATAGTGGGCCCTGATTGTACGCCTTGTTGTCCGGCCCCCAAGTTACTCAGGATAAGTCAGTCCAACAGACTTGAAATGCAGTGACGGACTGGCCCCTGCAGCTAAGGGTTTCCGCGTTAGAGGGAATCCGGTCAAGTCGGACAGACCCGCGAATGGCACGGCACGGAACGGAGCCCCTCAATGGGCCCAGTTGGACCCAATTGGACCCATGGTTGGGACCAAGGCGGACTCACAAGTAAGTGAATGTGCGTTAAATAGTTAGCGTTAACTAATTGACTAAGCTACTTTGATACCATGTGCAGGGATGTGCAGCGAGAAGTGCAAGACACGTGGTCACGTTGACTGACTGGCCGCCGACTGGCGGGCAATTAATTTAGCCCTACTTACTTAACTTACTTAATTAATGCCCGCCGCCCACTGCCCCAGCGCCAGCATTCTCATCCTCCTCGTCATCCTCCTCCTCCTCCTCCTCCTCCTCACTATTTGCATCCTATTCCCAGTTCTACTGTTTGAACTCACCTCCTCAGAATGGCTTCCTCGAATCTTACCTTGATTTTCTGCCCCGGGGCCTGGTATCCGCCCACGGCCTTTGAGCCCCTGGCCGCCCAGTTCCCCGACCACACCACCCATCTCGTCGCCTTCCCCTCCATCCAGCAGGCCACCGCCGTGCAAGACCTGCAGCCCGACATCGACACACTCCGCAACCTGGTCGAACAGGAGGCCAATGCCGGCAAGGAGGTGGTGGTCATCTCCCACAGTTGGTCGGGGTTGCCCGTGAACAGCGCGCTGGACGGGCTCAGCACGGCCGAACGACAAGCCGCCGGCGCGACGGGCGGCGTGAAAAAGTTGATCTTCATCTCGGCTTTCATCCCGGAGGTCGGCGAGAGTCTGATCGGTGCCTTTGGCGGGGTGCCTCCGGACTGGTACGACCGCGATGTGAGTCGATCGCCCCGTCCCTCCGATCCGATCGGATGCTAACCCCCGCCGCAGGAAGCCAACGGCACCGTCAGCGCCGTCGACCCCTACAGCCTCTTCTTCCACGACGTCCCTGACGGCGAGAAGTGGGCGCAGACGCTGCGTCCGCACGCCTGGGCGACCAAGAACTCGCCCGCCCGCAGCACCGCCTACACCCAGATTCCCAGCGCCTACCTCCTGTGCGAGCACGACCGCGCCATCCCCCTCTTCGTGCAGCAGTTGATGGTGGACAAGGCCCGCGCCAAGGGCGCTCAGATTACCACCGATACTGTCGCTACCGGTCATTCCCCGTGGCTAGTCGATCCCGCCCCGGTGGCCGCGTTTGTGAAGCAGAATCTAGCGTGAGGGGAGGCTTAATCCTGGTGACAGCATCCGTGTACCATATTGAAGAGAATATACTCTGCACATGCAGACGAAGAAGCTCAACCCCCATGATGGAATGGTCCGATCAGGCCTCAAATCTTTGGTTCCAATTTTATTTCAATCCTGTAGATAGCATTCATCAAGCTAGCACCGCCTCAATGACCTGGTCCGACCCCGGGGTCAGCGCATCCAACGGCTCAATGCGGCGCACCTGCAGCCCGGCTCGCCCCAATATCCTCCGCCACTGCGCCTCGGTGCGCTCCATGCCTCCAAATGCCATCATGCTCATATCCAAAAACGCCGCGTAGGGGGACGCGCCTCCTCCGTCCGGGAGCACCAGGTCGACAATGACCAGCCGCGAGGACGGAGCCATCGCTGCCACGGTGTTCTGCAGAATGGTCGCGACCACCCCGTCGCTCCAATTGTGGAAGATGTGACGGAAGAGGTAGGTTCGGGCTCCTTGAAGGATCCGTAGACGATAAGCAGAGGACAGAGCAGCAGACGAAGCGCACTTTGAGTTGAAGGAGACATACCGTGAACGGGCTGGGGCTGGAGAAAGCTGTAGGGCATCACCTCGACGCGGTGGCCCCCGTCCACCCCCTCCAAGACCTGGGGCAGGTCCTGCAGCACGATGCGACCGCGCGGCGGGGGATCCAGCTCGTCGCTGACTTGGCGGAGCACGGCACCTCGGCCGCCTCCGACGTCGACGAGCGTGACTTCTCTGGTTTTATCATTCGAAGGATCCTCCGGGGGCGCAGTGAGCAGACTGCGGAGGAAGGGCTGCAGCTGGCACACGGCGAGGGCGGCGGTGCTGGATTGGAAGGCGGCGAAGATGGCGCGCTGCTCGGGCTGCGACTCCAGCCACTCGAACATGGTCTGGTCGGTTTGGTGGGCGAATCCGAACAGGGTGGGCTGCGCATCGACGGGGTTCTGCCATTTGTGGGTCTCGAGGAAGTCGGGGAGCGCCGTCATCAACGTCGCGGTCTCGGCCCTGCGGTCGATCGGTTACATTAGCACGGTGGGCGGCAAACTTCCAGGTATTGGTGTAATCACGCACATGCCCTGGATCACGACCCGGTGTTGGGGCTGGCGCAGGGTTTGCGATTGTAGGGTATGGGCGTAGACCCCCGGACTGGGTTCGGTGAAGATGCCGATGGCGGCCAGGGTTCGCATGAGACGCACTGTCGCGCCCCGATGATTAGTCCGACCAAGATCTTCCCATCACCAGGTATGTGGAGCTATCATGCGCACGCCATCACCTACCAAGAAGCGCGACATCAATGCCGCAGCGTTGCGCCAGATCCGGGGCGCTGGGAGGGCCCTCGTCGAAGCGCTCGAACAGTCGGATGCGCAGGGCGGCGCGTAACACCCCATGCGCCACAGGCTGGCGAGTTTAGACCTAGCGCCCGGAAATCGAGCAGAGGAGAATCGGAAAACGTACTGCCTTGGCCAGATGCATCAATTGGCTCTCGGGGGTTTCCAGGCTGGTCAGGAGATTACGCGTCGCGGCGAGTAGTCGCGAGTGTAGCGCATCGCTGGCGGGGGGAAGCTGGCCGGGGCTGTTGGTCGCAGCCTCGAGTTGACGGGCCAGCGCCAGCATCGGACTGGGGGTCTCTTGAGTCATGATGGTTTCTGGAAAAAGTGATACCAGGGAAGGCTTGCAGCTGGTGGTAATTCGGAGAGGGGGAGGGATAAGTAGAAATGAGGCGATACGCCAGCCTTATCAACGCGGCCCTAACTACACTCTTTGCATATCATGGCGACGTTTTTGGGGGCCGCTTCGACCAACTCGCAAGTTCCAGCCTTTCGCGACCGTTGTCTCCAATTGTTGAATCGAATCCTTTGAATCTCGTGCCCCTCCGGCCTTTACCCCATTCTCGTTAGGCTGGCCTGACCCCACTGTGCTCGAGGTTGTGCCCATTGTGGTGCTAGCTTCTTCACGCTATAAGTTAGTCGCTATAGTCCGCTTACTATAGTCTCACGCTACACTCCTCACGCCCTAAGAAGACTAGCGCTCATTCTAAACCTGCTAAACGTGCAGACCGATCCTATATTATTGGTTCGATATTATATTAACTGCCTTCCCCCCACGGACTTCCGGCCCAACGCCACCTCAATGGTAAAGTCGAAACCCGCCCCCTGGCGACACTCGTCGGCAGCCTGTCCGATAAGGGTGCGCAGACGCGGCCCGGCCGCATCCGCTGTACTGTTATCCATGGCCAGATAGCTGTATTCCTCGTTGGAGTTGAACTGGAGCTGGCTCCAGTAGACGCGGCTGTGCGGGCTGCACGGATGCAGTGCCTTGCGCACGTCCACCATCCCATGTTGCGCGAAAAGATCGGGGAGGCCGGGCACCCAGCTATCCGTGCCGTTCCATTAGTATTGATCCGTAGTTAAGGGTGTCTAGTTATGCGTCCGTGGTCCATTGCTTACCGTCCCAAACCCGTTTGTTTCATCAAGTTCATCATCTCGTCCAAGGCGGGGGTCTCCCGGCCGCCCACCGACTGCACCGACCACGACTCGTAGTTGTGTTCCGACCATTGCAGCCACCCACCGGGCTCTTTCGTTTCGTCATAAGAAAGTTAGAAAGAGACCGTGCAAGGAAGCAAAAACAAAAGCCAAAAAGTAAAGACCCACTCAGCATGCGCAGCATATTCTGCAGCACTGGACCCGGGTCATCGTTGCGGATCACCACAAAAAACAGCCGCAGATGCACGACGTCGTAGATCCCTTCCAGCTCGGCGGGCAGCGGCTCATAGAGGTCCAGCTCACGCAGCCGCACGCCATCCGGCAGCCATTCCGGCGGCGGACATTGGGCGAAGGAGATGTCGAAGCCGTCGATCTGCGCGGCGGGATACTCGCGCTTCACGTCCATCATCCAGATGCCCGTGCCCGTGCCGATGTCAGCGATGCGCGGGGCCGAGTCGCCGGTCAAGCCCATGCACGGATGCAGGCTGTAGCCCAGCGCATCCTTCCAGAGGTGGTTCTGGGCGTTTAACCTGGGTGTGTTCAGTTAGTTTTGATCTCACTCCCTCCCGGGGGCCCAGCCGACCGTGGGGTTGTGCTTTACCGAGCTGAGGAGTGGTAGTTGCGGTGCAACGCATAGCTGTTCGTTGGAGGTGACATGGTTGGGGACAGTTCGGATCTTGCTGATTATCTCTGGGTGAGGGGAGTGGGCGGAGCCGATGAGATAGTTATAAGCTTGCCCTAAATGCATATTATCCCCCCAAACGCCTTGCCAGCCAGCATACCGTACTAGTCGTGGGCCGCAGGATACTTTAGGCTTAAAGAAAAGGACAACGAACATTAATTCAATAAGACAAATAGAGCAATACCACAATACCACCTGGCACAATACAAGAATACGCCCCTGCGCAGTGAGTGGGGCGTGGGGGCCAATGCCGCTGAAGTGCTGAGCCCCGCCACAGTGGGACCGCATGGCACCATGCGATTCAGTAGCCTCAATGGCATCCTGTCCGTGCTGCGGGTTCTCACCTTCCTCCTCAAAGACAAAGAATTACAATCTTCAGTTAAGGCACCATGGAGCCGGAAAGGAATCATCGCAGCTTAAGCATAATCCCTCCGTTGCGCGATCGAAGCGGCCGCGTGGATCTTAAATGCGGCGTTCAGCACTATCTGTGTCGCCCCTGGTATGGAGCATTCGATATCCTCAGCCTTGCCAGCCCCAAATTCCTGGGACCAGAGAATTGTCAGTTGCGGCTTAGAGGGCAGCTGGAACAGGGATTGATGGTCTAGCCCGATGCTTGTACTGCACATGAGTGCACACCTGCCGACCCACCAGGTCGATTTCCAGCCCCATGATTACCACGATGATGACAGAGGGGCAATGGCAGTACACCGTCTTTCAACAGATGCTAGCACAGCCTCAGTACATGTGCTCTCTAGCGACTCTTCTGGGTCGTATTGGAATAAACATCGGAAGAGGCATTGGCGCGCATGGACTGGTTCGTGGCCGGCTTTGGCTCTGTGCTCGTGACAAGCTCGATACAGGACTGTTGAAAGCGAAGCTTCAGTAATGCATCGTACTAATATAGCCAAGGCTGATTAGAGTGGGCTTATCATTTCCACTTCCACGATAGTTGGAATTTTGATTGACTCTCCAAAGATGCTCCGTGCCCCACTTGTCTGGATTGGTTGTCTCCTCCAGCGATGTGGTAATCACGGAATTGGACTCGGAGTCGCATCTCTACCGGTGCTGAAGAATGCTGCTGTTTGGATCTAGACATGTTGCACTAGACCTCCTCGGTCGGATCTTGTAGTGTAAGAGCATGTTACCTGGATCTGATGCTGCAAGTATGTGAGTTCGACACTAACATTGATGTCTATTGCTCATGTGCGGGGCACGGTGTAGGAGGATGGTAGTAATATGGATTCAAACTCGCTCAGAACCGTCTACCAATGAGTGCGGGTCAACTGGATATCGTATACTACCCACCTTTCGAGTTCTACCAACTATGTCTTGCCACCAGAGCCCGTCTATAACGAGGGTCTAGGTTTTTCGCTCCGGACCAGGTATATATATATTGATCCCGTCATGTGATTGACATTGAAACTGTCGCTTGGAACGATAGAGCTATAGCTCTTCTTAAAATGTCGCCTGACATTGTTGTGAACCTGTTCGTTTTCAAGAGTGAGTGAGAAACAGTGATGCTCTTGGAATAGGAGGACAGACGCATTGGATCTTACAGATCTAGTTGTGTCATTGGTGCAAGTAGATCTGGGTTGGAAGTCACTTTGGTTATTAGGCAGTGATACCGTGGCTGTTGATATGGTCTTGACAAAGAGACATACCAGTGCTAATGTGGATATCCTTCTTGAACCTTTGCTCAGCTAGAAATCTTGTCTTTCTCATTGATGTTTAGTTGTGACCCTATCCGCAGGCGGTAACTGTCACGTGGCCTACGTGCACCTGTGATGGCCCTATCCACAGCGCAAGCCAGGCATGACTACGACGTAAATAAAGCTGATTGTACCGTGAGTGGCGGAGAGAGAAAAGAACTGAATGTCGTTATAGAGTATCATTCTTGAACCACCAATGATACCGTCACCCGCTGTGTGGGATTCGTTCCCCCGCGGTTTAAATCAAGAGTTGCTCGACTGGTTAACCAGGTATTTATCTCACCCCTCTCTGCTGGGGCATAGGGCTCCATTGCCGTTGAAGAGAACCAAAGTGATTCAAGCTGTGATGTCAACGTGGCTTTTACTTCCCCGCATTCCAGACCGGAGAGAAGTCCCACCTAACCTTGCCTGGATTAGCGTGAATCGAAGTAAAGTCAAGTTACCAATCAACCGATAAACAGTGCCACTGAGTTGCAGGCGCATTGGTTTCCTGCTAACTACGAGATAGAGACTCCTCCCCGCCTCGGTTATCAGTAGAACTCACTACCGAGTGCACTGAAATCCGATTCGTTGACTCTACCGCTTATCGAACCCCTCCCCGTCGCGTCCCTGATAACTGATAACTCCTACGACGCATCTTCTCTTCTCCGTCGCTTCTTCTCTGTTTTAGATGCTTTGATACCATGACTGCCTCGGGTCGTGTCTGCGCTCGGTGCGCAGTGATTGTGAGTCCCACCCCCTTACTGCCTCCATCTGAGACTGATCTTGGGCTGACTTGGCATAGAAACAACGCTGTGATGGCACCTCGCCGTGCTCCCGCTGCGCACGTATGCTTGCACTTCTTCAGCATCCGGGGTATTCTAATACTGACTAACCAGGCCTTGGTCATACTTGTGAGCCCCAACAGCCTGGCAGACCGAATGCAGAAGCCCGGACGCTCGCGAATCGCCGGCCAAGAGCCTCTCGGTCCCGGGACGGATGTGTCTCCTGCAAAGCGCGGTAAAGGGATCCATGAGGACGCAATTGAATGCATGAGCATGCACACTCTCTGACTGTCAGCCAATAGGAAGAAGAAATGCGATGAGAAACGACCTCGATGTAGCGACTGTCGTCGGTTGAACCTACCATGCTATTGGAATACCCCCAGGGCACGGTCTCCGCCACCGGTGATCGTCTCCGCGCTGCCGTCGCCGCCTGAAATGCCCTTATCCGAAGCTGCGCACGACCTCATCCTATCTTCCGTTTCGGATCCAACCCCAGAGCTCGATCCGATCTCTCCTTCCGATCATCTCTTATCATCCGCTGTCGGCGATGATCCGATATTGCCCTTTTCGCCGTCCTGGATCGATGTGGAGATGGTCCTCGGACCCGTCTCGCCACCCCCAGACAGCGGGCTCAATGCCCATCTGCATAATGACGACGATCGCTGCCTCTTCAACCACTATGTCCAGATTGTGGCCCGAGCCCTGTCACGGTCCATGACGAAGTCCACCGCCAACCCATTTCTGGCGACTCTGCTGCCCATGGCCGCCGCCTCGGAGACTCTCACCAGCGCCCTCTTAGGGCTGAGTGGCTGCCACTGGCGGCGCGTCTATCCCCAAATCTGGAACCGAGCCCTAACGCGACAAGGACGGGGTAAGTCTGTTCTGAACACAGCAACACCTAAGCTCAATTCTCCATGATGTATCGACTGTAACAAGGCCACTGACCATAACAGCGCTGTCGCAAGTCAACAACCTGCTCAGCCGTCGACCGAATCGACAATCCTTCCTCGAAGCCTGCACCACAATCCTCCTACTATGTCTCACGGAGCTGTTCGAGGGCACCTCTCGCGCCTGGAAATGGCACCTCAAAGCAGCCGGGCGCCTCCTCGGCGCGATCGACCGGCACCGGCTGGCCTCAACCAGCGAAGGGACATTTTGTCTCCAGCTGTTCCACTACCTAGACGCCATTTCCACCATCTCCCGGTGCAAACCCCCGCTACTACGGGCAGGGGAGCGCCTGACCGACCTCACATTGGGATCCTCTCTCCCGTCCTACCTTCCCGCCGCCGCCAGCACATCATCACCATCAGGGGACACGATATCCGGACTCCCCACGAGCTTACTGGAGTCCCTCGGCCGGGTCAATCTTCTAGCGGCGCACCGCAGCCGACGCATCGACGACCTCTCGGAGATCGGCTTCCGCACGGCCGCTGCGCACGTCCGCGCCGGCCTGGACACCTGGCGCCGGGAATCCGAAGCAGTCCGCCCAGACAACGAAGTGGACCATCTGGCCACGCAGGCATTCGAGTGGGCGATCCGCCTACGCCTGCATCAGATCGTCGACGGCTACGATCCGCACCACGCCGAGGTCGAGCAGGCCGTCGCGGGCATCGTAGCGGCGGGGCGGAGCATCCCCTACGGCAGCCCCGTCGAGGGCAGTCTGCTCTTCCCGCTGGTGATCGCGGGGGCCAGCAGCCGCAGCATGGAGCGACGGATGGGCATCAAGGAGCGCCTGATGGTGATGGAGAACACGCTGGGCTGGGGGCATATCCTCCAAGCGCGGCGGTTGCTCGAAGCCGTCTGGGCGGACGACCGGGCGGACGCGAATTGGGCCAGCGTTCGCTATAGTCTATTTCCGGGGATGGTGTTCGTTTGATTGTCTGGATTATTGAACTTCATGTTAACTTAGTTACATACATCACACCTTGAATGCACTGTGTTTGGCCTTTTTCATAACTGGTACGAAGTCGAAGCTTGATATGTACATATTACCCCCGTCTATCGACTGCCCTTGAGCTCCTCCAGGTGCACCTGCATGTTATACCCACAAACCTCCTCAATGGTCAACTTCCCCGGCCGGTCGGTGGACGAGCTCCAGCCGATGCGCTCGTTGAGATCCTCGCGGGCCCGATAGCTGGCGGCTTGGATGTGCGTGGCCCGCGGCTTGCGCAGTTGCTCGTACAGCTGCAGCCCCTCGGCCACGCTGTACTCCTCGGCGAAGGTGCGGTGGAAGATCAGCCCCAGGGCGCCCGCGTCCTCGAAGGCCATGCACGAGCCCTGCGATTGGTCGGGCATCATCGGGTGGGCGGCGTCGCCCAGCAGGCAGACTTTACCCTTGACCCAGTAGGGGTACGGCTGGTGGCGGTACACTATTCGAGATCAGCCAACGGCTTTCTTCAGCCTGGTGGAGCGGAGGGATGGGTGGGGGGGGAGGTCCTACAGCGCCACATCTTGATATCCTCAGCATTGATCAGCAACCGCTGCATTCGCTCATCCAGCCCCGGAAACGTGGCCACCAGCTGCTCCGGTGTGGCGGAGATGTTCCAGCCATCGTCGCGGAGGTTGTTGTGCTCGGCCGGGTAGAAGCAGTAGCAGCTCACGACGTCGCCATCGCTGCAGGGGGACATGACGATCTTGTTGATGCCGATGCCGCCCCAGTACTCAATCGCCGCGTTGTCGATGTAGTCGTCCAGCCCGAGGCGGCGCAGCTTGTCGGCGCTGATGATGCAGCGGTAGCAGCACGAGGTCGACATGGCGAAGTCGGGGGTGATGCCCATCTGGAGGCGGCTCTCGGACTGCATTAAGGATTTGACGTCAATTGTTAATGCTTGAGAGCCTAGGGTACAGGCGCCAGAGCTTGGGTGCGTACGCGAATGCCATCTGCAGCGACGATGAGGTCCGCCGACGCCGTCTCGCCATTCTCGAATTCGATGCGACCGGCTTCCGCGTCCAGCGCCACGGCCTTGTGATTTACTTTCAACGTGCACTGGGGACCGTCTCCCGGCTCGTCGAAGGCGGAGCGGAGCAATTGTTGGTGGATGTCAATCCGGTGGAAGTTGTTGTACTCCTGATGGGTCCATGTCAGTGGTATTCGGGCTATGCGGGGGTGAATGCCCGACGGACCGTGCCAAACTTGGCCTTGTAGTCCCCCAGACCGTACTCTTTCTGTACTTCTCCAGTGGTCCAGTCGTGCATGATGAGTTTCTTGAGGATCACCTGTGTCTCGCGATGAGTATTGGCGGATACCAGAGCAGGGGGAACTGACCGGCTTCGCAGCCTTGACATCCACCCCCCATTGCTCGAGGAAGCGGGATCCATTGGAGGCGGCGCTCAGCGAGGCGCCCACTTCCCCAGCGAAGTCATATCGCTCGTACACCGTGACGTGGTGTCCCTGACGACGTAGCGCCACGGCTGCGCTGAGGCCACCGAGGCCAGCGCCGATGATGGCAATGTTCAGCGGGGAGTCGGTGCGGGAGGGCATTGTGAGTGTACAGATCGATGTTCCAAAAATGATTAACGCTGAAGTTTGTCTCTATGCCTCATCGTCGAGTTCGAGGTTGTGCTATAAATGTATCCTGAGCATTTTCGAAAGAATGGATCATGCATCCGACTCTTATCGTGCAGCCGACGGCTCGTATCTGGTAACGTTAGTTTATCTATGCGACGGCCGCAGGACTAGTCGGAAGCTTATCGCCCTGGTTGCCTCCAGTGAGAGCCAGCATCGATACCTCGTTGCAATGCTACAGTAGCTACAATAGACCTTTATTAAACACCCTCATCATGCCATCCGCGCCCCTTGTCCTCCGATGCTGCTACCATCGCTGCATACACCATGACAGACACCAAAGAGGAAAAGCTGGCCGCCGTCGACTACGGCCTCGGCGATCTGCACGATGACTTAGCCTTGTTGCGTCGGATCGACTGGCGTATCCTGCCGACCATGTTCTTGACCTACTTGCTGCAGTTTCTGGACAAGGTGGCTTTGAATGTATGTGCACCCTGCTGGTCTCGTCGGGACACCCGTTGCTGATGGCTGATGGGGCTAGTATGCCAACGTGATGGGGATGCAGGATGATCTCGGGATGCAGGGCAATGACTTCTCCTGGCTGGCTACGGGGTTCTTCATCGCTTATGCGGTTGCTGAGATTCCTCAAGGTCTGCTGCCCTACTCTGCTGCTGCTGCTGCTGCTGCTGCTGCCACCGTGTATCCGTCACTGACCGTAAGCAGGCTTCCTCCTGCAACGATACCCGGTTACCAAGGTTCTCGGGGGCAATATTCTTTGCTGGGGAGTGCTCTTGTGCTGTTCGGCCGCGGCGCAGAATTTCGCCGGGATGATGTCGCTGCGAGTGCTTCTCGGTGCGCTGGAGGCGGTCATTGGTGCGCCAGAAATCATTCCCCATTGGTGTCTAATGTACCTGAATTCATTGCTGATCTGTTACCATGCCTACAGCCCCCGCTCTGACAATGTACACCAGCATGTGGTACACGCGCGCCGAGTCGACTCCGCGATACGGTCTCTGGTACTGCGGCCTAGGCACCGGCCAGATACTCGGCGGGCTGATCTCCTTCGCGGCGCAGCATACCGCGCCCACGCTCGCCTTCCACGGGTGGCGGATCATGTTCGTGGTCATTGGGGGAGTGAACGTTCTCGCGGCGCTGCTGGTCCTCCTCGTACTCCCGGCCACTCCGGCCGCGGCGGGGTTCCTGAGCCCCAGCGACAAGGAGCGCGTAGCGCAGCGGCTGCAACAGGAGCAGGTCAGTGGCACGGAGGGCGAGAGGGGCTTGCGCCCGAGGTCGTTCCTGGAAGCATGCGGAGATTTGCAAACGGCCCTGCTCGTCCTCCTGACCATCCTGATCACCATCCCCAGCGGCGTCATCACCACCTTCTCCTCCATTCTGATCAAGGAGTTCGGGTACAACTCTAAGGAAAGCGCCCTGCTGAACATGCCCTCCGGGGTGGTCAGCATCGTGGCGACCATGGGATCCACCCTGGCTATTGCCCGGGGCTACTCCCGGTGGCTGGCGATCAATCTCCTCCTGCTGCCCACCTTGCTGGGCGCGTGTTTGATGTCTTTCCTGCCGTCTTCGAATCAGGCCGGTTGTCTGGCGGGTATATACCTGGTGAACACGGTTGGTCTTCCCGGGGCAAGGTGATGTTCTGGTCGTGTAGAGATGGGTTGCTGAGCAAGATCCAGACTGTCGCGCCACTAGCTCTGATTTTCGCATGGACCGGTGCGAACTACAAGGGCTACGGTATGAAGGTAAGCCAGACGCAATGCACTATTGCAGCACCTGCAGAGCTGACGACAGGACAGGTGGCGGGGAGTACGCTCGTCTCGGCCGGGTTCAGCATCGCCAACATCATCGGCCCGCAGACCTTCCAAGCCCGCGACGCTCCAGGGTGTGTTGTACCCTCGTCTTTCATCTTTCATCCTTGGCGGTGTTTCTCATGCCGACCTCGCTAATTGAGACAGGTACATTCCCGCCAAGATCACGATCGTTGCCGTCAATGCCGGTGCCATTGTCATCTCCACCACGCTGCGGGGGGTATACGGCCGTCGGAACGCGCGGGCAGAGCGATTGGGTCAGGCTGCAGGCAGTCACATGGAGCGACGTCTAGAGGAGGCTGGAGTTAGGGCTGGGGGGGAGGGGGTCGACTTTCGCTATGTGTATTAGAGTTGCTAGGAGAAGGTGGTGACTTTGGCTCGCAGGATGGTAGTACTTGCATACTATACCTGAGGCAGTAGCCTTTATCGTAAAAAAGGACTGGGCATTGTGTGATTCTGGTCTCGTATACCTAAGACCTAAGACGTACAGTACAACGGATGCTGATAGGAAACACTTTTCAACATGGTAGGCTTCCGACAGATATCAGAACAGTGGAATAGAGGAAAAGACAAATCTCGCACCCGGTGCCTAAACTACTGGACATGGTATATTTTGGAGTGAGTAGGATACAACCAGTAACATTGTCCACTAATCACTTTTTCTCGTGTTCTGGAATATGCTGCGCAACTATCTTCCTTATATTGGTAGCACATATTCTGTCTACTCGCGTTTCCGATAAACACCATGGATATCTATCATTAAGGATGCATGGCCCGAAATGTATAATGACAGTAGATCCCAGCAATCAAATGAAACAAACCAAGATCATATCAAATCAAATATAGCACAGCGACCGAGGCAATGCACAACCAGGGCTTCCGTCTCCGCTTGAACCGCGCGGGACCTGCTAATCTACGCGACGGGAAAGGCTCAATGCTGGACGGGGGAAGGGGACTACACCCTGCGAACTATTTATAATTGCAAGCCATGTAGGAATATATAGATAGTTGAGTGATTATTGTTCTCTGTCACTAATTCTGTCCAGACCTAAACCCGACATAAATCCTAATCCTCTACAATCCAAATGCTCACCCTAGTCACCGGAGCCAACGGCTTCATCGCCGCGCACTGCATCGCCGCCCTGCTGCGCGCCGGCCACTCCGTCCGCGGAACAGTGCGCACTACCCAGAAAGCCAGCGCCACTGTCGCTGCCCTGCTCGCCGCCGGGGTCGCCCCGCTGGACCGGCTGGAAATCGTCGTGGTGGCCGATCCCACTGACCTGCAGCAATTCGCTCCCGCGGCGGCAGACTGCGACGCCATCCTGCACCTCGCCTCGGCCTTCACCTACGACGCGCACCCGGGGCAATTCGAGCAGCGACTCCTGCTCCCAGCGATCCAGGGCACGACTGTCGCGTGCGAGGCGGCACACCGTTTTGCGACCGTGCGGAAGTTGGTGATCATGTCCTCGTTCGCGGCTGTCTACGACGCGGCGCAGGGCTTGCAGCCTGGACGGGTATACACAGAGGAGGACTGGAGTCCGTTAGGGTATGAGGAGGGACGGGACACGGGGAATGTGGTATGTTCCGTTACTCTGTCCCTTCAAGTACAGTACAGTCCATCGTTGCTTATTCTGGTCGATGCATGGTTGACGACGCAGGCCATCGCATACCGCGCATCCAAGGTCCTCGCCGAACGGGCCGCCTGGACGTACGTGAAGGAGCACGCGGTGGACTTCCAGCTCGTGACGCTGTGTCCTGGAATGGTGTTTGGGGAAATGATCCATCCGATAGCCTCGCTGGCGCAGCTGAACGCCAGTAATCGCATTGTTTGGGAGGTGGCGCAGGGGGGACGCGAGGCACTCCCGCCGACCAAGGCTCCGGGTACGAAGCCCTACTTTTCCCCTCAACAAACCAGAATGGTGCAACAACTGTACTAACCTCGATTCTTTGTGGTTGCTAGTCTGGGTAGATGTGCAGGACCTGGCCGACACCTGTCTCCGCGCGTTGACGACAACCCTCTCCTCGCACCAACGGTTCCTGGTCACCGAAGGGGCGTACGACACGCAGGAGATCGCGGATGTACTGCGCGAGGCCATTCCCGCCGCCCGAGAGCGTGTTGCGGTGGGCAGTCCGGGGCATCGGATACGGGACAGCCATTACGCTTGCGATGCTGGGAAGGTGAAGCAGATGCTCGGGGTCCGGTTTCGGGGTCTGCGCGAGTCGATTGTTCCTTTGGTTGAGCAATTGTATGCGATGGAAGCTGCTGAGGGGGATGTGGAGTCATAGTTACCCCCGCAGGGCAACATGTATGACAAATAGCCCTTGAAGATTATCTTTACTATCGCTAGAATGATGATGGTTTTTCTTGTCGGGTTTCTCATATTATTACCTCGGTTGATATTATCATCTTGACTACTGCTGTTGAGGCTGGTATTGCATTGCTAGCTCGATCTCTATCTCTTCTGCTTCCTCTGCTCCTCATTCTTGTTCTCATCGCCCCACAAAGAACAGACAGAGATTTATTCACTAAGGATATACATTGTTGAACTTATTATATCATTAATTCTAGTTTGGACTGCAAACTACCTCACCTCGTGCAGCGCCGCCTTCACATGCCCAGCAACCAAATCAATGAACTCCCGCGCCTGCCAGAGATCTATTGCGCCCCAGTCAGCATGCCAGAGCACCCCACATACGCATCCCACCCACCCAGAAGAAAGAAACGCACCTTTATCCATATGCATGAACGGATGCGGCACCCCCTCGAACCGCCGCACGGTAACCTCACAGCCCCCCTCGATCAGCTTCCGGGCATAAGCCTCGCCCTCATCGCGCAGCGGATCACAGCCCGCCGTGTAGATGACCGTGCGCGCCAGCCCGGTGAAACTCGGCGCGCTGAGCGCATTCGCATACCACTTCACCTCGGCCCGCTGCTGCTTGCGCACGGCCTCGTCCGCGCCGAGACTGCGCCACTTCAGCTCATCGAACCACTTCAACCGCGCCCAGTTCAGGGTCGGCGCGAACTCCATCGCCTGCATGGACGGGAAGGGCGAGTCGGCGGCCGTCCTGTAGACGGAAATATCGTCGATGACGGGGGTCCCCACCGCCACCAACCGCAGGGGGATGCCGTGGTCGCGCGCCAGGTGGGCGAGGATCAACGCGATATTACCCCCGGCGGACACGCCGCCGAGGGAGATCCGGCTGGTGTCGAGGCCCGGGAACTGCGCGCGGCCGGCAGACGACGCCAGATGCTGCAGCGCCGCGAAGGAGTCCTGGATGCCGATGGGGAAGGCGTGTTCGGGGACCAGGCGGTAGGCGACGTCGATGACGGCCACTTGGGCTTTCACGGCGATGTGCTTGCAGATGTGCGACTCGGTGTCGAGGTCGCCGAGGCCCCAGCCTGTGCGTGTATTGCCGTTGCAGTTAGAAGTCGAGACCAACACTAGAAAAACACCATACACATTGGGCTGAAGAAGAGCACGCACCGCCACCGTGGAAGTCGACGTGGACGGGCCAGGGTCCAGGGCTGTCGGGCTCATATACCCGACATGGGATCCGATCCCCCTGGTGTCCCGGGATTGTGGTATCGTAGACACGCGCAGGCTCCGGCGCGGGACCGGTGCCGTAGGAGTACAGCACAGAGTACTTGGATCGAAGGACGGCGAGATCGATCGGGCCGCTCGGGGTGTGGGCGACATGTTTGTTGTAGAGGTCGACAAAGGCAGGGTCGAGATGCGGCAAGACGGCCGGGTGGATGGGGTTCAGGGCTTCATGAGACATGGTGAGGATTGTGGTGTTTTTGCGGGTTTGAGTGCCTTCGAGGGCATTGGGTGCCCGTGGGCTTAAATCACGTCCTGCAACAGCAGCCATTGCCGATTTCCGCGTCTATACTCACTCGCAAGCTGATATGATAGGTTACGGTAGGCTCCTGGGGGCTTCCCCTCTCATCTCGGCAATCGCTGCGTATTATGGATGCAGCCAAGCCACCCCCGCATTTGCGCTTATCTATGCGACGGTCCGACGATACGCTATCCGACAACACGGAACAGCAGATACGGGACAGATTGCCCAGCCGATGCTACTAAGTACTAGTATATGAAGCGGGGGCGGCAAAGGGGCAGGACCCAGGTGGCTCGTAAGAATCACAAGCCAAGTTTCCCATCGCCATGGACCCTGTTTTGATTGTCGGAGCAGGCATCGTCGGGCTGACGCTTGGTCAGGCTCTCAAGAAGGTACTTTACTGTATCTATACACTGCCAGGCTTTTACTGCATACTAAATCACAAGTCAGAACAACATCCCCTTCCGCATCTACGAGCGGGACGCATCGCCGCATGCTCGCGGCCAAGGATGGGCCATCACCCTGCATTGGGCCCTGGAGTACATCCAGCAAATTCTCCCTGACGACACATTACAAGCCATCCAAGCGGTACAGGTCGACCCACAAGTTGCCCAGCACGACGACGGGAACTTCCTCTTCATCGACCTGGCGACCGGCGCTCCCAAGTTCAAGATCCCCCCCAGCACCCGCTGGCGCGTCAACCGGGAGAAGATGCGAGGCGCGTTGCTACGCGGGATCGAAGAGCATGTCCAGTGGAATGCGCAAGTGGTCGACATCGAGACCCAAGGGACTGCTCCTCCGTGCCTGGTCCTAGCCGACGACACGCGCGTGTCCGGACGGTTCGTCATCGGGGCCGAAGGCAGTCGATCGCTGGTACGCCGCGTGCTGCGCCCAGACGCATACCTCAACTCCGTCCTCCCCATCCGGTTCACGGGGGTAGCCGTGGATCTGTCGCCGGAGGAGATCCGCCCCCTGCGAGCGATGGATCCGCTGCTCTTCCAGGGCTGCCACCCCAACACCGGGGTGTTCTTCTGGTTCTCCGTGCTCGAGACCCCCCAGAGCAACGGCACGCAGGGCAGCTCCGACGGGGAGCGCTATCGGGCGCAGATCTGCATGTCGTGGCCGGTGAACAGCGAGGCCGATGAAGTGGCGGCAACCGATGCAGAGCGACTCGACAATATGAAACGACGGGCGGTTGGCTTCGTGCCGTTCCTGCGGTCGGTCGTGGAGGGGATCCCGTCTGGGACGCCGGTGCTGGAGATTAAACTAGCGGATTGGGAGTGTTTGGAATGGGATAACTGCGACGGCCGGGTCACGCTGGCCGGGGATGCGGCCCACGCCATGACAATGTGTAGGTTGTTGCTGAAGAATGTTGAAACTGTCATGCTGATTCGGGCAGATCGCGGCGAAGCAGCCAATCATGGGCTACTGGACGCCTTTTACCTCTCACAGGCGCTGCGACAGGTGTACACGGAGGGCCGAGGGGCGAAAGAGGCGCTGGATGAGTATGAGGCGGAGATGCGGTCCCGGACGAGACGCGCGGTCCGGCTGAGTCGACAGGCCTGTCGCGATGCGCATACCTGGGACCGATTGAATGAGGACTCGGCCATCTTGACTAAGAGAGCCATTACGGGCGAGGCCTGAGGTGATGGCATTGGGTGGGTTTGGCTTTCGATCGAGCGTATGTCGATTCAGTGTGTTGTCCGCGATGAATAGTCAGGAGTACTATTTGGTTTGTATGTGAAAGCTTGCTGGGCTGCCTGGTAATACCAGTCTCAGACTCTGCCAGGCGCAATGATATTGACTGTATGATGAATCTAGAATAAGACACCCCAGAAGAATATCTCCTGGAAAATAGACGACGTAGCGATTTCCGGGTTACTAGAAATAGGCCAATTGGTCCTCCTCTGGCGTCTAGCTATGCGATTGTCTGGATTATTGAATTGTGCTTGTCAAATGGCCTTTCCCTGGGCTTCGGAAAGTATCAGTATATATGCAGACTTGGAAATTGTCATTTAGTTTGTCAGAGACAACAAGGCATATTTGCAGAGATGCGTGAATTATAATCCTACCTTCCTTGTAGCCCTAGATTCGGTCCTTCCCATGTCCTCACATTCACCTCGCCACATTCTACCAGTAATCCCTGAGTGAACATTAAGTGTCTGATAAGCGCAAGCTGGGTCAATTACTCTTTTAAAAAAATTCATTTTCGGCCAATAAGTTCTACTTACTTCGGCAAAGTTTGGGTTTTACTATCAGTGTCGAAGAACTCGGAGCACACGTGACCCGGGTGGTTCTCGTCCCATCAAGAAAAGAAAAGACCATATACAACAATAGTGAAGCAATTAGAGTGGAGTAGGCGGAGTTTGGAGTTTAGAGTGACCCCGCTCCTGGTTCGATGTAATCGAGGACGACTGTTGTGTTTCAATTCCTGGCGAAAATGAGACAGTCACGGAGTTAAGACGGTCTGGCGCGGAGATAGCGGGGGTAAGCCGATGCTGACTGCCTACCGATTCCCTTCCACAGCGGATTCGCGCAGCACAGTAAGAAGTATTCACAGTACGGTACACCCGAGAATGCATTCTTGCCCTCGGCTTGCCGCGCATCGGAGCTGAGATCAAAGAGTGTCAGTCAGAATAGCCGTAAAAATCACGCATCTACCGAGAGTGTGATTCGCGCTGCATATTTTCACACGTGATTAAGTTGTCCGCTTGATATCATCGGAAATCTATCACTTGACTCCCTAACGAACCATACTCCATTCCGACGAATCTTCCCCTAAAATCAGTCAGTTACTCCAGCCCCATGCAGCCGTTTCGCATCAAGTTATCCAACGACGGGACTGTAACAGGCTTCCATTCGATCCCCCCCGCATCAGCATCCCATCTACGTTACCGTCCTCTGATCGTCGGACTTCATGGTGGATGCTACGACAGCCAGTACTTCACGGGCATCCCCGGTAACTCTGCCCAATTGAGCAGCGAAGCCTTCGGGGTACCGTTCGTGGCGATCGACCGTCCCTCGTACGGGGGCACAAGCTCGATTCTTCCAGTCCCAGAAGGAACCGACTTCTACCGAGAGACCGGCCGCTGGCTGCACCAATACATTCTGCCCCAGATCTGGGCCGACTTCGGAGTACCTAACGACTGCAACTGCATCGTCCTGCTCAGTCACAGTCTGGGAGTCACGGGAGGTATCATAGCGGCGGCTCTCCACGCGCAGGATGATGCACCGCGGTATCCCCTGGGCGGTCTCATCGCCAGCGGCATGGGCAACACGCAGCTGCCGGCAATGAGGGCCAGCAGCCCGTCCTTCGTGACCATCGACGCAGATCACGTCCAGTTCCCTGGGGAGTACAAGGACGCAGTGATGTTCCGACCCGGAACCGCGGCGGCCGAGGTTCTGGGCCTGTGTGAGCGCCTGAACGCGATCTCGCCGCTCCCAGACCTTGTCGACTTCCCGACGAGCTGGCTGCCGGTGTGGAAAGAGACGTGGGCATCCCAGGTTCTGGTTCCGGTCATGTTTGCGCTGGTGGAGGACGATCCATTTTTCACCACAGACGCAGAAGAGCTCGACACGTGTGTGCGGGCATTCACGCGCAGTGTGCGTGTGGATGGGAGTCTGGTTCGAGGCGCCCCGCATTGCATGGAGCTCAGCTACTGGTCCCAGGGATGGTATGCCCGGTGTTTTGGGTTTGCTATGGAGTGTGCTGCAAGTATGGCAACTCATTGACAGGAAGATTCCGTATGACACGGATATTAGCGATTTCGGGAAGCGAAGCGGCGTTTTGTTGGATCGAATTCGAGATCTTGTACAATATACTCAACGCGAAGGCATGCATTCTATCCAGGTAACCCGTGCGGTGAAAGTAGTATACTGTGTTGTAGTGTGAAATGATTGAAGACCTCATTTATGACAGGAAGTATGGATCTAAATCCTATATACTGGCTGTTGTCTCAAGCGCACTTCAGAGGCAGTCGGCAAGCATGGCGACAACTGGCAAACTGTCTATCTTAGGGGTGGAGCCGCGATGCTTCGCAAATCGTTATGCGGTGAGAGAGTATTCGCTGGGGGGCAGCACGACTGATGGAAGGGGTAAGTGAATGCAGTAGACAGGCATATCTTGATGATCCCTCCTCTCCTCAATGGACGGGTTTGATGAACAGCTCTATAAAATTGAACTCACAGCAAAGATGTTGGGAAGCACAGCAAATCGTTACCATCTTGCTCCCAGTCCTGTCGTACACCGACGCTGAGAATCTCTTTCAGAAGTACCTACGAAGCTTGGAGGGAACCCCGCTCATGACGCCGACCGCAGTGGCGCGATTGGCCGCAAGCAAGAGCCTTTTGTCGCGGATCCTGATCGATCCGGATAATGGGATCGTGGGAGGTACTTTCACGCAGACTGTACAAGAGGCCATCAGTATCGTGACCGTGGTCGACTGCTTGTTTAGTGACCCGGAGAAAGTCGAGACCGGGATCTATGACGAATGGCAGGAGAGTCTGCGGGCACTCATCGATCATGAAAAAGCCAAACACAATCAGCCAGCGTTGTCAGTCCTGGTGAATGCGGCGACGGAGCATGGCATACGATGGCTTCTGTGGACCGCTAAGACCGGAAATGAGGCCATAATTGCGACCATGGTTGGATTTTATAATGACCGACTGGGGTTAGAGGGAGAGGAGGATCGGGCAAGGTTTGTGAATTTATTCGAAAGCTGGGGCGGACGTCAAAGACGTTCACTGCTCTGGTGGGTTTTGGAGTCAGACTCTGCGAAACTCCTTAATTTCGCCCTGGCAGTCCACGAGACAAACCCCAGGACGCGAAATGGCAATTTCTTCTACGCTCTGATCTGGGCAGTAAGGAGCGGCAAGATCATTTATCTTCACCATCTGCTGGACTTGGAAGAGGTCAGCCCGAATATTCAGGACCATGACGGGCGTTCACCCTTGTTATGGGCAGCCGATACAGGGCACGAACATATTGTTAAGCTTCTTGTGGACTCCGGGAAGGCAGACGTTGACTTGGCAGATCACCAAGGTCAAACGCCGTTGTCATGGGCAGCAGGCAGCGGACACGCACATATTGCTCAAGCTCTTCTGCAGAACCCGCATATCAATCCGAATTCCACCGACTCGAGTAGCTTGGGTCCCCTTATGTGGGCTGCTGCCAACGATCAACAATTCATCGTCGAAGAGCTCCTTCGGATCAACGATGTCGATCTGAATCCAACAAATGTATCTGATCGCACAGCGATCTCACATGCCGCTGAGTATGCATCCATTGAGGTTATGAGGCTCCTTCTATCGCGGGCTGGCCCGAATATCAAGGATGATGAATGGTGGACGCCATTGATGCAAGCTGAGCGAGGGTCTGTGGCTTTGGCAGGTGAGCTACTCATTAAGGTACGGGGAAAGTCGATCCTTCTTGGAGCAGCTCGGATGGTTGGACTGCAAGGAAACGCGCCCAGCTTCATGGCCACGATGCAGTGGTTCAACTGCTGGATGAGCACCTTGCTTCAATCTAGATGATAGACGTCCGAGGCCATCATAAAAAAGAAAGGCGAAGACGATCGGGACTGGATGGGTAGATTTCGTTGCTTGATGAAACATGCCAATAAAGCACAGGAATCCGCTGCGGGTTTTTGAGTAGCTGTATAGTCATCTTTTTGAAGACGCTGCACATCTTTCTAGCACGATCACTTTTTGGGAGGAATTGAGCTTCCAAGGAAGTATCTTGTAAAGCAGAACCAATAATAGCCTCGCAGCACTACCTCAATCCGAGCGAAGGGACAGACCTCACCGCTGCCACTTACTCCTACTCCCCACCCCACCCATCCCCACGAACGCCTCAACCCTAACCCAAACCACCGACATCGTCGCCGCAAACAACAGCGCACTCACCAGCACCGACATATTCCGGAACGCCCCAGGGGTCTCACTCCTCCCACTCCGAATCAGGACCCCGCCCACAGGCGTCCCAATCATCGTCGCCATCCCGCGCACCATGTACAGCACCCCATTGACGGACGCAAAATTCTGCGCCCCGAACAACTCAACCAGACTCGCCGGGAAGAGCGAGACGTACGCACTGGCGAAGATGCCATACAGCACGGTGAACGTGATGAACAGATCCTTCGACTCGGTGGTCACCCCCGCGACCGTGGACGGGAGCCAGAACGCGACGGTGGAGATCGCGCTCAGCAGGGTAGTCAGCAGCAAGGCATTCAGCCGTCCCACACGGTCAGCCAAGTACCCAATGACCACCTTTCCGACGGCATTACAGGCGTTACTCAACGCAATGAAATTGGCACTGGCAGCGGTGCTGTACCCCAGGGTCTGTGCGTAGGACGCATAGAAGAAGACTGGGGTGTAGTATGCGGCCGCCTGGAACACCGTGCCCAGGGCCTGGGCGATGAAGCGACGGGAGCGCGCCACGCGCCAGTCGACGAGGGGCACCTTCAGCAGGCCGTGGACGCGGCTGCGGCTGCTGCGAGCGGAATTCTCGATCTCGATCTGCGTGCGCGTGCCGGGCTCCCAGGCCATGGCGCTGCTACTGGCCGAGATCAGCGTGAAGGAGACGGCCCCCGTCAGGCGGAGGGTGTTGCGGAAGCCGAGATGCTCGACGCAGGCAGTTAGGGCTGGCGCCCACACCAGCCCGCCCACCCCGGTGCCCGCCAGGATGATCCCCATCGCCAGTCCGCGACGCTGCGTGAACCACCCCGGGGCGATCGTCACGGCTACCATGTAACAAAGACACGTTCCAATCCCGTTGAGAACTCCCTGCGCGAGCTCGAAGTGCCACAGCCGCTGCCCAAAACTCGCCAGCACGAGGGATAGCGCGAACACGAATCCGCCTACGAAGGCGACCCCGCGCGGCGGGAAGGCTTTGGCCCACGCCACGCTGAATGGGGCCCCGATGGTCATCAGCGAGCACGACACAGTCCCGATCAGGTCGATTTCGGCCGGCGAGGCCCCTGTGAACGGGGTGTTGGGTTGGTGGGACAGGTTCTCGTAGAGGGCTTGGTAGACGCCCCAGGCGAAGTTGAGGCCGCAGCAGGTGAAGATGATGGTGAAGGAGGAGAGGACGATGATGATGAATTGTCTGGCTGGTGAGCTTTGGTCATTGGAAGGAGAGCAAATGTAGCTTACCTCTTGGATGTTTGAGGAATATTTTGATTGAGAGTCAGGGTCGGCGGCCCCGCAGACCGGCTCCCGGTGCTTCTCGCGCTAGACACGGTGGATAACTCGATACCTTGGTGCTCCACCAGAGCGTCTCCCGAGGCGTGTGGCGGAGGCATCGTTATGTCACGGATACACTATCTTGGTGTAGTTTTTGGCCTACCCTTTTGGAGAGATTTGACAACCGTAGGCTTTCTCTCGAGCGTTCAATAGAATGTATTTCGGTCAGCAGAGGAAGAAGTGCGGGAGGGTGATATGACTCAGACGGCTATTCCCGCGGGGGAAAACGGCGAGACACGCCTATGCTTGCATGCAGCTTATTCTTAGGGCTAGTAGAGCATCGAATTGTATACTCTCGCTTAGGTCACCTGCATCTTACTCATGAAAGGAGCACAATGTCTGTTCCAGCTCTCCCACAATATTTAGATGACAGCGGGATTGGCGTTTGACGCCGCTGGCTGCTGGCTGGCTGGCTGGCTGGGCAGTGCGATGCTAATATAAGTACTTCTAGCGCGTTGGGGGTCAGCACTCGATATACTAGACAGTTAGTGGTATCAGATTTTATCTTGCTCTATTAGATCCAAAGAATAAAGATACACATTTTCTGCTGAACTCGGAAATCAAATCCACTCCCTCCATACCCAGTCTAGAACCATCTCCAGGCCAGTCTCGACGTCATCGGCCAAAAAGCCTCGGCTCTTCTGATTATCTTATCAGCTCCGATTGCCGAGCCGGACCCACCGCCAGGAATTTTTCTCCCCTGAAAATGGCCCCAACCCCCTTGAGGCGCTGTCGATCATTCTTCCGGCTCAAAGCCCTTGCATTCACTCTTTGTGTTTTTCTGCCTGTTGTGCCAGTTTCTATAGCGCTGCACATTCCTCGCGATGGAGGCCATTCGCTCATTCGCCAGCTGCCTCTGGGAGTCGGCCACCTTCTGGAAAACAACCGCCCTGGTTCTGGCCTTGCTGAACCTTAAGACGTTGCCCCTGGTGTGGCATGTGAGTGTCACTTTTCATTCCTGACAACCTGCCAACCACCTGTCACTAACTACCCTCCGTGCTGCGTAGATCCGCGTCTACCGCTACTTCTTCAAATATGGCTACCTGATCACCCCGGCCGTCGAGCAGCCCGCCCGCCCGAGCACGGAGATCCTCAGCCCGCTCAGCATCTACTCGCGGGCGCCGGTGATGGAGATCGACTTCAACATGCACAAGTCCAACTCGACCTACTTCTCGGACCTGGACGTGTCGCGCACGGCGCTGATGTCCAGCATCGTGGTCAAGGGGGCCGCCCTGCTGGAGAAGCGGCTGGAGCAGCAGGGCAAGAAGGGGTTCCTGGGGTTCATCCTGGGCAGCGTCTACACCAACTTCAAGCGCGAGATCCCCGCCTACACCCGGTACGAGGTCAAGTCGCACATCGCCAGCTTCGACCAGAAGTGGATCTACATCGTCACCTACTTCCTGAAGCCCAGCGGCAAGAGGACCGTCGAGGAGGATCCCGAGAAGCTGCTCAAGCGCCTGTACGCCGTCTCCATCAGCAAGTACGTGCTCAAGAAGGGCCGCTACACCGTCCCGCCCACGGACGCGTTCGAGGCCGCCGGGTACACCCCGTTCTTTGCTGCTGCCGCGGAGACGAACGGCCATGCGACGGGCGCACAGAACGGCCATGCCAATGGTGAGGCGGTGCAGCGCAAGGAGGGTCCGGCGGGAGACTCGGCGGAGTGGGAGCGGTTGAAGACGGAGATCGATCGCGGATTGACGGTCATTCAGCCGATTGTCGACCAGGAGGAGAAGCTGTTGGAGGATTACGTGCAGAAGATGAGCCGTCCTGGGTTTGCCTAGGGGGGTACGAGGTGAAAGTGAGATTCGAGCATGGGGTGCATATTAGCCGGTATATAGACTAGAGTATTGTTCAGCATATGATAGATTTAGATTAGATGGAATGCATGATTCTGCAGCAGTACAAGAGCCAGTGCCCGTGCAGTGCCAGTGCTGATGCCTGGGTGTCTACTCCGGAGTAAGTGCCTGGAATACCAGGTATCTCTAGATTGATGCCTTGCGACCCGGAACTGCCGAGGCGTGTCTTCGGCTGCCTGCGGATGCCTGAATCGCCAGGTATCACACATCGATGCTTGGCGGCGGCCCACCAACGCCGAGTGATGCCTGGAGATGCCTGCAGGTGCCTGGGGTGCCTGGCAGGCAGAGACCGGGAAATAAAAAGGGGTCAAGGCAGCGACCCACCGAACACCCGTTCCTGCCTCAGGACTCCCATCCCGGCTTGGATAAAAACATGCAACAACCAACTCGATACTTATTGAGTAGTAAATCCTTGCTACCACAACTCCATTTCATGTACACTCGTTTCTTTACTAGCATTGCAGCGGCCATGACTACTTCACCTGCCCGCATCGAGCTCCCAGGCTACGGCCTCCCATTGAACCACCCAGTCCCGGTATTGTGCCTTCCCAGCCCAGATCATATTTCATTCGCAAGCTAATGAACCCAGGCTAAGTATTCCTTGAAAAGAGTAACACTTCCCAATGCACTAGATAGCAAAGATATCTATGACGGCTACATCGGGTAGGCATCTGCAACCAAGTACCACAGCAGATGTGGGCGTCGTCGACTAATGATCCGCTCAGCAATCTCCTCGTCCACCGCGAGATCCTCATGCTGCAAATCGTGAACACCATCTCCGAGAAACCCGACTGGGACCGCAAGGTAAATCACCAGCCAGTCCGAGAGAAACGCATTCTAACCCCCGCTCAGGTATTCGACGAGGAAATCACGGCCAAGTGGCGCCAGGAGATCGCCGAGGCCGGGCAAGACGTCACCCCCACCATGGTCGACGCGATCATTGCCGAGATGAGGTGGAAAGCAAAGGTGCTGCAGGAGGAGGGGACGTTCGCCGTCTTCGATCACGTAGGGGTCGTCCGGTCTGACACAGCCATCCCCAAGGACCTTCAGCAGGCACTGCGCGACGCCGTAGCGCCATTGGAAGACATCCCCGAGGAGGCGAAAGACTACCACCCAGGCTCAGACAACAAGGTCCTCGACTTGGTGCATCCCTCGCTATTTCCGCTCGTCTACGGCCGCACGCACATCCTGCCAGACCGCACCATGACCGTGGCCAACTGCCTCGAGCACCTCGGCCACGGGGATGTGCTGCCCGTACCCACGGACGAGGAATCCAAAGGCCAGGGCCGCGATCCGCACTGGCGCTGGATGTCTTCGGGCTACAAGGTCTACAGCCAGAAATTCCAATGGCTTCCGTGCGACGTGGAGTTTTCTGACAACGACGACTGCCGCATCGTCTCGTACATCAACAACCTCCACCCGCAGCGCCATCAGAGCCTGTACGCGGTCGTCGAGAACGTCATCGCCCGCGCCATCTCGCAGTGGAACAAAAGCTTGACCAGAACTCGGCAGCACGAGAATGTCCGCATCCTCTACGACCGGGTGGAGTACCTGGACCGCTCGACCCCGGAGCCACAATGGGAGAGCGACAAGGAAGACGAGGAGGGCTATGAGGACGACTATCAGCAGCGCTCGGATGCATGGTGGAAGGCGCGCCCCATCAAGCTCCCCGAGCCTCGACCCACCTTCGTGCCCCCGAAGGTCTCCTACGAGGGGCCGATGGATCTGCGCGAGAAGTTCCGCGAGACCGGGCTGCAGGTGATCGTCAAGCTGGCGAACATCGAACTGACGCCCGAGAAGCCGACCTACGAGGGCGGGTCCTGGCACATCGAAGGGCAGCTGGTACGTCCCTCCCCTCACCTCAATATCAAATGATGCTAACGCTCACTTCCACTGTAGAATGAGCGAATCTGCGCCACAGCGATCTACTACTACGACAGCGCGAACATCACGGAAAGCCGCCTCGCCTTCCGCCACCGGGCCCAAACGATCTACGACATGGGCTACGAGCAGGACCGGCACGAGTTCATCCACGCGGTGTACGGGTTCGGCGCGGACGTCGACGGCCACAACGACAGCGCGCACTTCACGCAGGACCTGGGCAGCGTGGTCTGCACCGAGGGGCGTCTGGTCACTTTCCCGAACACCGTGCAGCACCGCGTGGCGCCGTTCGCGCTGGCGGACCCCACGAAACCGGGCCATCGCAAGATCCTGGCGCTGTTCCTGATCGACCCGCACCGTCGGGTGATCTCCACGGCTAACGTGCCGCCGCAGCAGGCGGAGTGGGCGGGTGACCAGGGGGCGTTGGCGCAGGGGTTGATGACACTGGAGGAGGCGAAGGCGTATCGGTTGGAGTTGATGGAGGAGCGGAGTGTGTTCCAGGACAAGCAGAATGGGGCGTTTGAGACGGGCTCGTTCTCGCTGTGTGAGCATTAGGGGTATGCCAGGGTGAATGTAGTGTACATGTATATAATGAAATATTCTGACAGCTCAGTGGAGATGCAGCCTGATAGGTTTCGGCATAAGTGTGCACCGTACAGCACAGGTAAGGATCACTTGTAGTCGGGTGTAAAGCCTGGGTTACTTTACATTAAGCACCGCTCTGATCCATGATCTGCACTTGGAGCTTTAATTCCATTCTGACTACTCTTCTTCGGCTACACAGCAAGAAGGGCACGGGATGACGAGACTATACTGGAGTAGAGTATTAAGACGACTGAAGATAACTCTATACAGCAAAACAAGAACAGAACAATCTGGTATGTGACAAACAAAAACCCCGCACGCCAACCACAGCTGCAGCCTCCATCCTGACTTGACACGATATCAAACCGGGGCCTCCTCCACCCTCTCGGCCACAGCCTTCACTCCCATCACATTAAACCTCCCACCCACCCTTCTCCCAACCTCGACCCCTCCCTCCAAGCCCTCTCCATCTACCCCATCCATCCCCATCCCCCCACACCCATCCCCAAACCCCCCCACCACCCCCAAAATCTCCTCCACATGCCGATGCGGAAACGCGACCCCAAGATTCCACGGAAAAACCAAATGCACCCAGCGATGCATACGACAGACAAAGGAGAACAACGCCCCGGTCAACACGCGATACTCCTCCTTACAGGCGACCCTCCCCAGCCCGCCCAAATACACCTCCCCAATGACGCGCATCTCCCCCAGCCCCAGATCGACCAACATATCGAAGGTATTGAACCCGACCACCAGGAACTCGCGGGTCATGCGCTGCACCACCGCCAGGGGCAGGTCGGGGTACAGCGAGAC